CAATGTTACTGCTCCAGTTACTGCACTGGACCTTAATATGACACATCACACACCAGGCAATCCGCACGGGCTGCGGAGAGTCGCGGGTCACTGAGCATTGAGTTGAAGACCCCACCCACAACCTCTCCTCATTGTGTAACTGCATCTGCCGCCAATTACTTGTCAACGCAGTCACATTGCAGACCGCAAAATGGCAATTCCTCCCCCACTCCCCCTCCAAACCGCATCCTTTTTGCTCTCACTGCCCCTCCTATGCGGGTGGGGGTGGGGGGGGGGAGGGGGGGCTGAGGGGCTCCCGATAAGGGCCTCTCGCTGCGGTGCTGCGGCGGTGGTCCCCCGTTTCATCCGCTAAACCCCAACAGCGCAGAAACCCGCTCCGCAATCGCGGTGCGGCCGCTCCCGACAGCGCCGCTCAGGAGCGCAACGGGGAATCGGCTCAGCGGCGGATCAGCGTCACTGACGTTTGCGCCTTTTCTGTACCTGATCCCGCAATGGAAACCCAGAGGATCAGGAGGAGGGTCGTCCCCTCGGAAGCTCCACCGGGTGCGGACATCGTGGAGGGGTTTGTGACCCCCAACGCGGTCTCTCTCCTCCTTCCAACGGCAGCGACTGAGCCGCACTTTCGCTTTCGTTCTGTCTCGTGATTTCTCGGAAATGGGTTATGTTCTCAGCGCTGCGATTGCACTGTTGTGTTTTCAGCTGAAATTCAATTGCAAAAGAAGCTGTTGCGATTTCTGGGGAAAGGAAGATCAACACCAGAGGGGAGATAGCGTCTGGGAGCACTTCACCCGTCAACTCTATTGATTGTAGTGATTGGTGTGATGATAATCTTTGCGTTCGATAGATAATAATCCTTGTGTTCGATACAGCGCCCCATCGCGTCGTTGAGAGGTCTGAAAGCGCTTCACGGAATATACTGTAAAAGTGTATATTTTGTGGGGGGGAATGCGAGTTGAACGGCACTCTGGTCCCTTCTCCCTTCTCCTCAAGGACAGCACAGTCCCAATGCATATGCCAAGTTTGTCGCATGTAAGACACGTACCCGAAACCTTTATGGTTCTGAATTACACCTGACTTTGGAGTCTCTCCTTCAGATGAGCTCCCATCCCTAGATAAGATGTACAACTGAGGTCCAGTCTGCCTTTCTCACGTTTTCCTCCAAAGACAGCACCTCTGAAAATGCAGCGCCCCCACCATCATCACTGCACTGGAGTGCCGGCCTAGAAATGCAAGTTCAAGAGTGTGACGATTGTGAGTGTAACTGCTACCAACTGTGGCAGAGATCCAGGTAGGTTTTATGGTGGAATTTGAAGACGTATAGTGAGGGGGGCAAGACAGACGTATGGAGGCAGGGAGTTCCAGAGATTAGGGGTATAGTGGATGAAAACATGGGGAATGGCAGAGGAGTGAAGTACAAGCTGGTCATAGGCAAAGGATGTGCCAGGGCAAGAAGGGATTGATATGTAAGAGGAGGACCTTCAAGTTGATCCATTCAAACCCTTCCAGGACAGCCCCTTTATCTCCACCTGAATCACAAGAGACTGAACTAAATTAGTAATGCGCCTGGAAAACAAGAACAATGAACAGTGGTCTGAAAATAAGTAATAAAATTGTATTAAATTTACAATAGTGTTTATTCAGAAAACAGAGTAAAATACAGATCATTGGAAGTCAGATCTTGGTTGTCCAATAGTTACAAACTCTCAAGACCTATAACCTATGTTATTTGAGTGGAACTGTAAATGGTGTGATTTTCTCCACATTCCAAAAATAAGAAATAAAAGAAGAAGATGCAAATGGAAACTGATTTTTTGCATTCGAAAAGACACAACCTCCTCCCCATTGATAATAAAAGTCAGAAATGCACTGTGAGTCAACTAGTATAAAGAGGAGACATCCAAAATGTACCTACATGTTCCCCACTAAATCTCCCTAATTAAAATGAGAGGTTCAAATAGAGAATATCTGACCAGACAGACACAATCATCTGCAACCCCAACCAGAAGACCTGAAGGCTTTGTTGGCTCCCTGGGGCCGGGGTGAAGGATGTCTCGGCAGGGATAGAAGATAATTTAAAATACAATGGCAAGGATCCATCCGCTGGTGGTACTTCACATCGGATGTACTTCACATCATTCTACCGAATGACATCGGTAGAGTTGGCCAAGATGACTTGAGAAGGGAATTTGAAGAGCTGGGGTCCAAATTGAAGTCAAGATCATCGAAGGTGGTGATATGGGGACTACTGCCTGTACCATACGACAATTGGTACAGGAACAAACAACTTAAGGACTTGAACGCATGGCTAAAAGAGTGGTGCGGAACTCAGGGGATTTGTCACTTTTTAGTGCTAACAATTTTCCTAGCACCAACTTAAAATCATAGTTCTTAATAAAATACACCATGTTTTGGTCAGACGGGTATCTGATGCATGCGGAAACCCATTTCCATGCTTAAGGGTATCTAAACCAAACTGAGAATTCTATGCATGCCACCTACATATGGAATTCCAATATTACTTCAACAAGAGTAGAACCAGACAGTCTTAAACTTTGCAAACTATTGAATTAAAGAGAGTTACTCATGTATCATGTGGCACTCTGTTGCAGAATGACATTGCCTGGAATTTCTCCACCCACTTGAACCCCAAAGTTAGAAAATGTACACTTTTTTAGTGCTGAAACAATGGCTTAATCAGGAACATTATACAATATGAAAGCTCTTTCTTTACATTGCTTCAGGAAAGAAGATACCAAAACTGGTCTTGTTCTTTGATACACCTGTTGGGCCAGTAGCTGTAGCCTTCAAACTATTTCGACTCTGTCATAGTTCATAGGTAAATGAAAACCTTAGTAGAGCAAGACACAGACCAAATGTCAATCAATTTTTGGCTTCAAATTTTATTTATGAACAACTCGGCCTTTAATCCTGGCGGTGAGAATAGTCTAATGTGTAGACTTTTCTTAACTCTACTTTATCTACTGTACTTCAAGGGGAACTATCCCAATCTCACGTCACGCTTTGTGTTTGGTTTCCTTTTGTGTTCATGTCATCTGATACTGCAGGCGCAGGTCAGGTTGCATGACTTTCAGTTGTTTCAATGGGTACATGTACTACATGGTAGTCACACTGAATCATTAGTTTGTCAAGATCTCCGATTGATTCCCTGGACTGTGCAGACTCAGCCAGGTCAGCTATAGAGGCACTGGAAATGGTTTGAGTGCTGCTGGGCTAGCTAGGAGTTTCACCGCTGAATATTATCCAGTGCCCTCATTCCAGTTCCCCCATGGCACATGTGTATAGTGGGTGAATACAGGAACACGCTTGCTTGGGATGGTCCCACTCTATTCCACCACCCTTCCCCAGCACTGGATTGGATTGTCAGCCTAGACTGAGCTCAAATCCTGACGTGGGGCTTGAAGCCACAACCTTCAGATCTCAGGGGGTGTGAGTGATAGTAGCTGAACCACACTGACATCTTAACCCCACCCCTCCACCATGGCAGTCTGACTCTTTTTGGGAGTGCTTGAGACCTCCCTCTACAGTGGAAACGGCTTTGAAAAAAGCGATACTGACCTTTCAGGAGCAATGCAAAATCTTTCTCTTGAACTTTATCTGACGCTGAGTGAGTGACCTCACATATGATCATGTCTCCCTGGTCCCAAGAGTTTGGAACAAATTCTATTTGTGAAACTGAAGATTACAAGCTGTTCTCGGCGATCACTGGGCTGCTGTTGAAGACTTCCCCAGCGTAAGGCTCCCACTTTTTCAACCAGCGGATTCTGATTCCATCAGTAGAGTAATCGGTCAGAGAAACGCTCAACATTACTGGTTTATCAGCCTCTGGCTCTGCGGGGTCACTCCAGATATCTGATACATTGGGGTACAAAGCTGCGAAGAGAAAGATCAGCATAGAAACATATACCAACAACTACTTGCATGTGTACGGCGTTCTTCATGTTGGATAATATCTCGGAGCGCTTCGAAGTAGAGCTGTTGGACGCTGAGCAAGAGAAAGTGGGGAGTGAGAGGTGACCATAGACACAGTTGAAGAGAGGGGATTTATGGTGGGACTTAAAGATAGATGGAGAGGTAGCGAAGTGGAGGCATGGAGGTCAGGAGTGAAGTAACTGAAAGCTCGGTCACCGATAGTGCCGCAAAGGGTAACAGAAATTTCTGCACCAAGGAGGCCAATTCGTCCCATTGTGTCTGGAGACGACTGCGCACTCTCTCCTTGAAGGGACCCCAAATTTAGTGACTGTATACTTGTAGGCAACTGTCCCCTTTAACAACAACAGCCAACAAATTACATTTGTGCAGCACCTTTCACGTTGGGAGGACATCCCAAGGGCGACTGAACACTGAACAAATGGAACCAGAGTCCAGGACACACACAGTCTACGCAAAACTTGCTGAACAAAAACAGAACAAACTTCAGGTGGATAGAGAGAGAAAGAAAGATAAATCGGGCTCAGGAACAAAGATTAAGCCTTTGGCAAACAGAAGCACTTTGAACAACCCACAGTTCATTCTCCTTTGAATACGTGACAAACTCTGGTTTCAATTGCAATTACATTTTTGAGGTTCCAGAGAGAGAAAACAAATACCCTCTGGGGTCGCAGCGCAGTGTAAGTCAATCGATCGATGCCCTGAATTCGCGAATGATATCTGACCTGAGTGGGCGATGCTGGCGGTCAGGACAACCAGTGTCACATTCGTGCGCCCTCTCCCCGGGGTCCAGGCACCGATGCCCCTCGAGACACCCCACTGGTCGGAGATACTGCCCTCTGTCTTGCCCCCTGTATCTTCTGATTTGTATTATTCCCGCAACAAAGGCTATGGGGCCGCTCACTCTCCACTCTTGCGGAAGTCACTGCCTTTTCATTCCTGCACGGATGCTTCTCTCTGTTTGCGTGAGCCCCGGCCAACGATTCCGCACCCACTCCCCCCCACCCACTCCGATGCAATCCGTGCGTAGTCTCGGGTCCTCACCTGTGCCTTCTCCACGAACAGCAACTATTTTGTTGGGCTGAGATGGACATCGCCGTGGTTGACTTTGGGTCCTTTGGCTTAGGCAAAGCCCAGCCCTCGGCCAAGGAACTGCAACGATTGAGCTCTGAGATGATGAGGGCCTTCACTGACATTGGGTTTGTGTACCTCAAGAACACTGGGTTTGAACAACAAAACGTGAGTACCATTCATTACCCACACTCTGTTGGCTAATATTACACCGTGGTGCTACATGTCATGTCAAGTCACTAACTTTCTTTTCCTTTTATAAAGCAGCTGTATCTGATGCAAACTTTAACAATTCTGATTCTGCAACTGAAAAAGCTCAGCTTTGAAAATCCACGGATGTTTGCCTTTTTTTTAAAAAAAAATCACAGACCGCAGGGTTTTATAATTTTTCACTTAATTGCTCTGTAGGTATTCAGAACAATGGAGATCTGCAAGAAGTTTTTCGTGCTTCCCAGAGACATTAAAAACCTGTATTCCCATTCAGTTGACTCCAATGTATTCCATCATGGTTGGGTTCCAGGAGAGGCCGAAAGGTAGGATTCCTTGAAGCACTTCCCACAGGTAGAACTGTCAAGCGCTCTGGGACCCTACCCTGTGTCAAGGGCCCTATATAAATGCATGTTGCTCTTGTTGTTATAACATGGCTGTTTATGGGACACCGCTGTGCGCAAAATAGGCTGCTGCGGTTGCCTTCAGATAAAGTCACGGCACTTCACTGTAAAATCCTTGCGAAGCAAATAGGTCCTCTCTGACATGAATGTCACTCTACCAAATCTAAGGAAATTTCTAGGTGATGAATTCTGAATATAAAGGCTCAGGGTGGGATGCATTGGGTATGAAAATTAAAATAGAAATATTTCTTCTTCCCAGATTAAACCCCAATCGTCCTGCCGACCAGAAGGAAGCTTATGATGTGACAGGATCACCAAATCATGTGAGATCTCAGAGCACAGGTCATTGTTGCACGTCATACATGTGCTCAGCTCGGACATGATTTTAATGAGAAGTTGGCCAGACCATGAGATTGTCATTGAACTTCCTTCTCTACAAGCTGAGTTCACATTCAGATCAGAGCAATTGTAGGAAAATCTGAATCTTGCACTGAACATGGTTCCATATAGCTTGATAAGAGACACAAAGAGCTTCTGGGCAAAGGTTTAGAGTGATTGTCATTAACCCTTACACTGTCAGCAAGCTTCCCAAATGTCCAATCTTTCACAGTTAGTCTGTTTTAGTACTTACACTGCAACGCTGAAATAAAACAGCAATTAATCAGTCTCAGTAGTCCAGGTCCTGAGCCAGGTGGGTCCACGGTATTCCCGGGCACTGCTGATGACAACACAGCCAGCCTGGCTCATCAGCAGGACCTGCAAGGGCAGACGAGTCACTGGAAACGGAGTCATCCCAATCAGCTCCTGTTAACCCTGCAAGCCAAAGCCCTAACGGGTAAGGTGGTCCAAGCTGGACAAGCAGCAGGAAAGTTTGCCAGACAGCAATATCATGCTGTGCGGTTTTAACTGGTTAGAGAGTGCACATTCCATTCCAACAATCTATCACTGGGATTTCCATGTGTAGGTGGGTTGCATGGAAATCACAGCTTGGTTTGGATATTTGTAAGCACGGTGATGGGTTTCTGCATGTGTCAGACACTCAGCTGACCAAAATAAAATAGCCAGAATTGAGAAGTTCAGTCCCATAGGATCTGCACTCTGTCTGAGAGACTGAGATTGACAAGATCAGACTGTTAAATTATAAAGGAGATGGAATTTGTGGCTCGAAGGGAGAAGAGCAGACAACAAACAAGCAGACTTGGTTAAAGGATTACTGCAAGCAAACCTCCCCCACACAGGCTTGATCACCTAATAGTTTGGAACTACGCACCACAGTTTTAAGTGTATTATAACTGTTGTGCTATACCATTTTAGCTTGGTAAATATCAATGTCTATCTTGATTTATCATGGGGTTTCACAAGCTCAAGTGACCTTTACACTAAAAGTAATAGTTACTTTAAAAGATCTAATAGTAGATTTTGGGATCTCGTACCTTCAAAAAATAAACTGCACAATTTTCAGTTATTCAACCAAACTCGATAAATGGTTAATGTTTTCATAATACATGTTATTATTAAAATCAGTAGTTTTTTTCTACGATTGATTGAAACCACTTAGACCTTAGCTTCTGAAGAATAATTCTGTGGTTCCTTTATCACTCTATTAATGTACTAGTGCCCTGTGTTAACATTTACTGTCAAAATAAAGTGTTATATTGTACGCTGCATTCATTCTCTGGAATCTTGTGCGCTAGCTGCCACATTTCACCTACAAAATACACAGGCAATCCACTTTACAGTATATCCTGTGAAGTACTTTGACACGTCTCAACAACGTGATAAGGTACTATATCAAATGCAAGATTATTATTATCTTATTTGGTAATCTTTCCAAACCTAGATTTTGAGTCTCAACCATTCACCTAGTACCAATAAAAAGGATGCCACACAGAGAGAAAAAGAGAGACAGATAGAATGAATTGGGCCCTTGTTTCCCAGAAAAGTGCCTGAGGAAAGAATTCTGGTTTGCGTTCACATCATAGTGACTCTAAGAATAAAGAATAAAGAATTAAGAATAAAGCATCAAAATGGGATGTGCTGAATGAGGGGAACAATATACAAGTGTTGAAAACTATCCAACTCCCCCAATCCCTCCCCAAAATCACACGCACTCTCACACAGAGCTTTCCAAGTGTGTTTGCCACTTCTGCCTGTCATAAATTCAGCCATTGCAGTATAAGCATTCAACAGGGTTAGGAGCTGGTAAGTAGACTGCCAAAAAGCTAAGGCATTTAGAATACATAGTTCGAACGGAAGTGTACATGATCTGAATGTTGAGTAACAAACAGAGCTACGGAAATGGCAGAGGTTTGGCTGCTTATTGTTTCACATTCAAAACATTTCGGTCACTGGCATGTTTTGGGGTGAGGGATAATGGTGGCAATGTCTTCCATCATTCTGAACATTTTCAACCCATTCTTGGCAATGAAACGGAGAGTCCGTCTGAAGCTGAGATGACCCTGAGATGGCAATGTTGGAGGATGGAACATTGAAGAAATTGTGTTTCACTGACCTCCACGTTCAAAGACCCGACATGTCACACGTTTAAAAAAATACAAGAGGAGGGAAGATCCTGTGGGAGAGAAATATTCTGCTCAGTCTCTGAGTTCTAATTCTTCGACATGTGCTTAGTTCAGAGTGGAAATTACTGTGGAGTGTTCAACCCGACCATTGGTTGCATGATTCAGATAAAGAAAGTTGCTATTCAGGCGAATTATCAGTGTTGTGCAGATTGGTTGTGTATTCATTATTTTCCCCCATCAAATATACACTTTACAGTATATCTTGTGAAGCGCTTTGAGGTGTCCTCCTCATGTGAAAGGCGCTATAAAAAAATGCAAGCATTGTTAATATTACACACAATGAAAATGTTTGATTAAATGAAATTAAAACAAATTATATTCATATTGGTAAATTTTTTTTTGAAAAGACAGGTTAAAAAAAATTCTTGATAGAGTGCCTTTTATATCGGGAGGATGTCTCAAAGTAATTCACCTGATACACTGTAAACTAATGTTAACGTAGGAAAATGATGAGTTAGGCTGACACACAATTATGCTTAATCCCTTGCGTTACAAATATGTGGGTGAGAGATGTGAGGTCACATATTTCACTGTGATTAAGTATGATCTATGAGGGTGGCCTTGAAAGTAACTATGGATCCTGACCTCTTGACAAGATATCTAGCGGCTGGTTAAGTGCTGTTTACAGATTGGAAGTCAATGAATTATTAGTTCAGCTTCTTTCACAGAGGAGCCAAGCTGGAAGAATTCATGTCCCTAGTAAATTTTTAACTTAACTTGAGAGCAATATTTCGTAAAACCATCACTGCATCGCTCTGTAAAACAAAACAGGCTGCTGTGCTGGAGGTCACTGGTTGGTGGCTGAGATGTTAAACCGAGATCCCGTCTGCCCATTCAGGTGGACATTAAAGTTCCTGTGGCAGTAGCCGAAGAGAGAAGGGAGTTTCTCCTATTGTCCTGATCAACAAGCCTTCAGATAAAATCGCTCCCTCATTAATTGGCTGTTTGTGGGACATTACAGTGTGCAAATTGGCTGTTGCGTTCACCTACAAATACACAGTTACTACATTGTACAGTACATCCTTTGTAAATTTTGATTTTTTTACTCGTTCTTTTTTGCCCAGATCATGACTTGCATTAAAATTTAAATGGTGTACACAATTACCATTGGCAGAACCTGAACCTGTGTCAGATCACAAAAACTGATTTAATGCGTTAATATGTATACAGGCCACATTTCACAAGTAGGCTGCGGCCAGCCAACTTTGTGAGCAAATAGTTTGTCACGATTTTAAACAGTATTTGCAATAGGAGTCATCTGATAAAAGTGCTTGCTTGTGATCGCGCCCAAGGTTCAACTGCAGAGTTCTCAGACAGGAGATCTGGGAGCAACTCAAATCCAATTCATAGCATCTGAGGATTGCGCGTGAGGGGAATAACACAGAAGAAAAGGTGTGGGAGGAGAGGAAAAGAGAATTTTAGGTGAAGTTTTTAAAATCTATGTGATAATAATCCTTGCATTTGATATAGCACCTTATTATGTCATTTTAGACATCTCAAAGAGCTTTAATATTTAATATTTTGTCTAGTTGGGACATTGCTGTGCGCAATTGGCTGCTGCGTTCGCCCACAAATATACAGTCAATTCACTTAACAGTGGAAGAGGATGTTTCACGTACAAGGCGAAATTTCACTGAAAATACCAGTTTCAAGAAGCAATTCTTAGCTTCCTCCTTGACTGGTTTGCAGTGTTTTTGATAGGTCTGGCTCTTTCCTCTGGGCAGGTATCCGTTTCCTTCACCTCACACAGAGTCCAAAGATTCCCCCATATCTGGAGAGCACAATTGAGGCAAGAAACCTAAGAATGAAGTGAGAACATTTTCTCTCAGTCTGATTCTCACTTTTCTATTGTAACAATTATTTTGTTGTGTTTATTTACTAGAAATCTATCATCCTTGGGCTGAGATGGACATCACCGTGGTTGACTTTAGCTCCTTTGGCTTAGGCAAAGCCGAGCCCTCGGCCAAGGAACTGCAACGATTGGGCTCTGAGATTACGAGGGCTTTCACTGACATTGGGTTTGTGTACCTCAAGAACACTGGATTTCAACAACAAAATGTGGGTACCATTCATTATCACACTCTATTGGCTTTGCTACACCATGTTATTACATGTCATCTGACATCACTAACTTCCTTTATATAAGGGTGAAGTATGCAACTTTTCAATACATTTCTTGTGTTAATTTGTTTTGGGTGAGCCCGGTGGAATCCAATCACAATACACAACAGCAACAAAATTACATTTGTATAGTGCCTTTCACGTTGGGAGGACATCCCAAGGCACCGGACAGACAGAGTTACAGACCCGAGCTGGGGATTGGGGTGGGTGGAGGGCAGTGGGGGGGGAAGCAGGGAGATTGAAAGCACGTTCGAAGAGGGACGTCTTGAGATGGGTCTTGAAGGTGGTTAGGGAGAGGTTAAGGTGGAGGGACTACGGGATGGAGTTCCAGAGGGTGGGGTCAGAGTGGCGGAAGGTTAGTGTGCCAATAGTGGGGCGGGTGAGGTGGAGGACGTGAAGCAGGCCGGAGCCCGCTGAGCGGAGGGAGTGAGCAGGATGGTAGGGAGTTAGGAGGTCGCAGAAGTAGGGGGGAGCAAGTCTGTGGAGGGCTTTGAAGGTGAAGACCAGGATCTTGAACTGTATCCTCTGTGTGATGTTAATCCAGTGGAGTTGGGCAAGGATGGGGGTGATAGGGTCGCAGAGCTTAGTGCGGGTGAGGACACAGGTTGCAAGTTCAGGATAATCTGCAGCCTGTAGATGAAGGAGTTGGGGCGACCTACAAGCAATGCGTTTCCATAGTCAAGCCTCGATGTAATGAAAGCATGTATGAGGGTTTTGGCGGCCTGCCATGTGATACAGAGGTGGGACCAGGTGACGTTGCGGAGGTGGGGGAAGGCAGAGTGGGTCATGGCGCAGATGTGCGGTAGAAAGGATAGTTGAGGGTCGAACAATACCCCAAGGTTCCAGACTGGCTTAACAAGGTGTGCAACCATGGATGGTAATGCTGTCAGCACCTGAGGTGAGGAGGCACTGATGGGAGCCAATTAGTAGAGCCTCGGTCTTGTTGACATTCAACTGAAGAAAGTTAGCTCTCATCCAGGTCTTGATGTCTAACAGACATTCTGTAAGCACAGCAGTGGTCCCGGAGTCAAGGGTGGAGGCAGAGAGGTAGAGTTGGGTGTCATCCGCATACACGTGGAAGTTGACCCCATGTCTGCAGATGATGTCATCAAGAGGGAGCATATAGATATTGCAGAGGAGGCGACCAAGGACAGAGACCAGAGGAATACCAGGTCAAGGGAGTGACCGCGGACATGGGTGGAGGAGTGAATGTGGAAGGAGAGATTGAGGGAGGAGATAAAGGAGGAAAAGTCAGTGGAGGTAGAGCAGGAGGGAGTGAAGTGAAGGTTGAAATCGCCTTGGATAATGAGGCGTTCGGAACAGATGGCAAGGGAAGATAGGAGGGTGGAGATGTTGGGGGTGAATGTGGGGGAGGACTCGGGGAGGACGGTAGATAAAGAGAATTTTGAGGGAAAGGTCGGAGGGGTGATAAAGGTTAAGGCGCTCAAAGCAGAGGAAAGTTCCAGAGGAATAAGGAAATAGACTGAGCGGGGACCAGGAGATGAGAGCCACACCGCCACCAAAGTGGTTAGGGCATGGGATATGATGGAATGTGCAGCCGGGTGATGTGACCTCTATCAGGGGGAAGGTTTGGCGAGGGAGAGAATGTCGATGTTTTCATCGACGATGAGGTCTTGGATGGTGAGTGGTTTGTTGGAGAGGGAGCGGACATTTTGTAGACCGATGCGGAGGGGACAGTTTGTGGCGGAAAGTGGGGTGCGAGGAGGAGGACTTACAGGGAAGGTGGGAATATGTATACATAAGAGTATCCCACCAGACTGAGAGTTCCACATATGTTTTCCAATTACTCATGGAAATTTCCCTGTGTCTGGAATGGAATGCACATTCTCTCCCTGGAGAGACACCCACTGCTTACTTAATTCTGGAGAGTATTATGGTTTGGTCAGCAAGAGCCAAGGCTTGAGTACCCCAGAGTGTGTATTAGGGTAACTGCTAGTGTTTAACCAGCAAAAACCATAGAGCTTGCTAGTAAGAGCACTGTGTCGCAAGCTTCCCCCTGCTTGTGCACGTAGAGCCCTCCTTCCCATTAGGGGATTGGTTTGCAGGATAAACAGGAAGAGAATTCCATTGGAATCCTGCTACTGAGCCAGGCTGACTGATGCGTTAATTAGCACAATGAATCCCCACAGACTTTAGCCCATCATAACTATATTCAAACATAATGTTCCTCTTAATCTCCCTCTTACAACCTCTATTTCCAATCAACAAGTGGAAACGGATCTTCGATGTCCAATTTATTCAGTCAGCTTCTACTCTTCAGAAAGAATGCATCTTTTACAATTTTCTTAACCATCTTGTTCCACAGGTGTTTAAAACAATGGAAATCTGCAAGAACTTCTTCATGCTTCCTAGAGACACTAAGATTCGCTATGCCCGTGCATTCAACAATAAACATCAACGCGATGGATGGATTGAAAGAGAAACAGAAAGGTAGGATTCCATCAGGCACAACCTGTAATTACAGAAATCTCCATAGGCAATAATAATAATAACCCTTATACTTGAGTCAGTGCCTTGCACGTCTGGAGGACATCTCAAAGCATTTCACAGAATTCTCTGTGCAGTGCAGTAAGGTGCAGTTGACTCTGTATTTTGTAGACGAATCTGATCATAAGATTGGTTCTGATGAAGAAGGCCGTTCAGCCTATTTGATCTCTTCTTTCCATAAGGCCCACTCTGCTATCTTCCCATCCCACAGCTGTTCTTTTAATAAGTCCAGCATCCAGGTAAAGAAATACTTCCTAGTGTCTGTCCTCAACCTGCCAATTGGAACCCTAAACCTGTTCTCATGTTCTGCTGTCTCAGTGCATCCAAGAAGTATTGTTCCTAGTTTAATTTTTCAATCCCACTTAAAATCATATATATATATAAAATATATAACTTCCCCTCCAAGATATTTCTTTTCAAACCTGAAGAGCTGGCCTGATCGTTGATCATAGCTCATTCCTTTAAAACTGGGGATCATCGTCATTACTCTCCTACATTGCCTCTGGGGTCAGGTAGGCTCCTTATGTTGCAATGACTATAACTGTCTGCAATAATCCAGGTGCAGCCTGAGCAGAGCATTGTTGTGCTTGAGTATGACTTCTGTGGAGGTAAACACAACTGAATTAGCGATACTCCCAGCATCCTGTTATCTCTTCAATGTTCTCGATTTATGCCAAGTGATTAACTATGAATAACAGTATGACTTGGTTTATAAAAATTGTTTATTCTTCACAGATTGAATCTGAAGCATCCTGCAGACCTGAAGGAAGCCTTCAACTTAACCTTTCCCATCATTGTAAGAAGTATGAGCTCGGACTGGGACTTTGAGCTCCTTACTGTGTAATTAATCGCTTTGTGAAGTAACAATATCCCTCTCCACAAAATAATAATTTAGTCACTCAATCTACCACTGTTTTTGGGACACTGCTGTGTGCAATTGGCTGCTATGTTTCACCCACAAAATTACAGTTCAATCCACTTCACAGTATATTCTGTGAAGCACTTTGAGATGTCTCAATGACGTGTTAAAGTGCTATATCAAATGCAAGGATTATTATTATTATAGTGGAGAGGTCTGCAGACTGTGTGGTTGTTAATTGCATATTTTCCTCCATATATTGGACATGGTCAAAACAACCCGCATTAATTAAGACCCCTTGGGGAAGCTGTGGCATTGGCAATTGGTGACAAAATTCTTCAATGAGACTGGTAGTTGTGAACATGCCCTCACTCCTGTTCCTGAAATTGTTAGTGGAAGTCCTAGAATGATTGAAATTTGCAGCACAGAAGAAGGCCTTTCAGCCCATCAGGTCCATGCTGGCTCTTTTAAGGGCAATCCTTTCAGGCCCATTTATCTGTCCTTTCCCCTTTCTCCCCTTTCTGTTTAGTCCTTTCTAGGTATTTAGCTGGCCCCCTTTTGAAACTAAGATGAATTTTGCCTCAACCATGGCTCTCAGAAGGGCATTCCCTAAACTAACTACTCTGTACGTGAAATAAAATTCTCCCAATCTGCTTGTTGACTAACTATCTTAAATTGAGTATCTCTCATCACTGACTCACTGAAAAAAATTCTCCCTCTATCATCATTTTAAAGACCTTTATCAGGTCTTCCCCCAATCTTCTTTGTTCCAATAGAAAACGTCACAATATAATATGATTCTATACAAATAGAGCCAACAAGTACAAGTACTTTTTATTAGCAGAGGGTTGGGCATTTTTATGGCAGCTCTTGGCAACAGCGCAAAGCTGCTCCTGATTTAGGGCTGAACATAAAAAGCACTCAAACGTGCCTTGTGTGGGAAACACAAAACTATTCCAGTGGTGCAGCAGAAGGCGTTCTTTTGGAGCTTGGGGCCAGAGAGTGGAAGATTATTTCACCTCTAACCTTGCTACCCATGATTCGGGAGTGTCATGATAAACAACAACAAATTACATTTGTATAGCACCTTTCAGCCTCTCTGCCCCCACACTCTGGGACACCATCCCATGGTCCCTTTGCATCACTTCCTCCCTTGCCTCCTTCAAGGTCGCTCTCAAGACCTTTCTCTGCGACCGTGACTTTGGTCTCCCTCCCACCTCACTGCCTTACCTCATTCCTGCACCACCCACCCCTCCTCCATGCTCGGGCCCCGACACCTGACTGTTCAGCGCTTTGGGATGTCCTCCTGACGTGAAAGACGCTCTACAAATATAATTTTGTTGTTGTTCACATCAACAACAACAACTTGCATTTATATAACTTAATTTTGATTGTGTGGCAGCGTCCTGGAGCACTTAATTTAAAAGATCTTTATGTTAAAGATCTCGCGAGCACGTCCCAAGGCCTAAACCATAGTTACACATTAAGGAAACTTACCATTGTTTTTGTTAAAGTATTGCAACCTGAAATGCAAATCTGGTTTCTCCCTCATTGCAGAAATGGCCTTCTGCCAAAGATGCCCCCGAGTTCAAAGGATCCATGGAATCATTTTTCAAACAATGTGACGAGCTGGCCCATAGAATTATGAAACCTCTTGAGTTGGGTCTTGGACTTGAGAGAGATTTCTTCATTAACAAACATAAATTGATAGGCAGTAAGTACATATTGCTGTAAGGTTTTAGTACCTGTATTTAAAGAGGATGATAACATTGTCCAAGACAATGGTTTACCATCTGCAACATTTTTATTGGTCACAAGTCAGCAGTTTACATGTAATCAAATCTTCTCTAAGAGGCAACTGTAGCAACATAATGAACAGTGGTGTGAAATTAAAGAGTTGACTGTTTGTTGCTCGTGCCGGTATTGTTACCTATCATATCATTTTTTGCAGGTGACTCAAATCCAACCACCCTGAGAGCTCTGTACTACCCCCCGGTGCAGAAATCCAGTGTGTTGGAGAATCAGATGCGATGTGGGGAGCATTCGGATTATGGAACATTCACTTTACTCTTCCAGGATGAGAATGGGGGACTGGAGGTTTGTTCCTTGCAGTGAGATTTTACTCACGTCTACACTTTATGTACACTTACTGCAGGAAAAGACTTCAGCAGTTTAGGGTGACCATAGTTTGTAAATCAAATCCAGGTACACATTTTTAAAAAAATTTAACTCACCCCAATTCCTGATGCTGGCAGCGCTGAAGAAGCTTTTTGGATAAATGGCTGCATTTCTCTGATGAGTATATCTCTTTTAGAATTTTATTGTTCTTGCTCAGTTTGTTACTGAACTCAGGACGGGGCAAATTTGGCCCGAGGGACACAATACCTCATCCGAGGACTGTCCCTGGAAATCAGGGATGTGTGGTCACCCAACTTTGATTGCCACATTACATTTACAGGCCTTACGACTCATCAAGTCAGACAACACTGATCATTTCTACGTCTACTCATAGTCTGACTTATGGAAGCATACTTCTTTGGCCTTGCCTACAATCACCCTCACTACTACTGGTGGCCGTCTCCTTCTCTATAAAGCCTTCCAAAACCTTACACAACCATGAAAGGAGCTACATAAATACATTGTTTTGTTGTTGTTGAGACATATGGATGTTCACAATACAGTGGGTCAGATAGATGTGGAATGTCCTGCATCAGAAAGCTATAGAAATTGAACTAGTAGGGATGTTTAAAAGAGAAATAGACAGATACTGGTGGAGTGGAGATATTAAGTGAGAGTAGCAAAAGGGTAGGCCATTGCGATTAAACAATATCTTGTTCCTGTTTTCCTGTGAGAAGTGGTCATTGCTTGTGCAACCAAATCAGCATGAAAATCCACCTTAAGGATAGGAAAGAGGAGAATCTAAGGGGAGAGGATAGGAATATTGTGACGCATCGAACAATCTTGTGGTAAACATTTAGAATCGCCAGGCCTGGTATTCTCCATGAAACATAGGATTGTGCAAATATTTGAAAAATTCTTAAATTCAGTCTCAATTTTGATCACTTCCCCTTGCAAGGAGATCAAAAAATCTCTGTGACTTGAAAAGAAACTACACTGGCAAGCATGTGGTAACATTTACATTGGGAATTCCCCGAACAATCCTACTGTGTGGTCTTGATGCTATTATCCTGTAGCTCAGTGGTTAGAGCACTCGCCTTGCAAGTGAGAGATCTTGGTTCAATTCCAGGCAGAGCGAAACCTTGGCAAGTTTCCTTACTCCACACGCCTAATAATAATCCCTCCAAAACAAAACAATAATAAATTGGTGATTTTCAAACCACGACTGTTTGTGGGACACCGCTGTGCGCAATTGGCTGCCGCGTTCGCCCACAAATATACGATCAATTCACTTTACTGTCTATTCTGTGAAGCGCTTTGAGACGTCAAGAAGACGTGAAAAGCGCTATATCAAATGCAAGGATTATTATGATTATTACTTTACAACATTCTCTGTTTTAGGTCATGAATAGATCAGGGGAGTATGTTGCTGTCCCCTACATTCCAAACACTGTACTTGTCAACATAGGAGACCTGATGCAGAGGTGGACGGCAGACATACTGACATCTACGGTGAGCTGATTTTATTATTTTTAAAAAGATACCCATTTGGAGACTAGTTCTGAGATAACATTAACTCCTACTCTTGGAGGTATTATGGCGAGGTGATGAGGTACTGTGTCAAATGCAAGGATTTCAAAACTAAAATGGTCGGTTTGGATGTACACTGGATTGCCGTCAAGGCGTCACCAGTGGAATGCGTGTTAGTGTACACTGAAGCCTTTGTACCTTTTCCTGTAGATGCATCGAGTCAAATTGCCAGAATCGGATGACAACAGCGAGCGACAGTCACTGGCGTTCTTCGTCCATCCCGACAACGAAGCAATCATCACCTGTTGTGACGGATCGAACAAGTATCCTCCTGTCAGCTCTCTCCAGTATGTAGAGTATCGTTTAGCTGGTACTTACGAACGCAAGAAATCTCCAGCAAGTGATGTGCTGGACTGAAATTTATAGCCCTATACCCCAAATCATCTAAGAACTGACAACATTTGAGCCACTGAAATAACACCTAGGCTAAGCTTGTAAGACCATTTTGTACTAAAATGTAAGATAGTGCAGACTTGTGAAATATTCTTAAATGTTGTCTTAATTTGGAAGCCAGCTCTCTGCAGCTCTTAAATAAAACAAACCTCCAAACTAAGTCTGAATTTATGACTTTACCATAATTTCGGCTTTTGTTTAAAAGACAAAATGCTTTTACAGGGTAAGACTGGGTGGAATATGATTATGAATTGAAACTGGGAACTCGTTCTTCATGAATAATATTTGCATTTAAAACTAAGCATCAGCACATTCTTTTGAACCAAGCCTTGATCACGTGTTAGCCTGGCTCAGGTAGATAGCACTCTCACCTATGGGTTCAAACCCCACAATAGAATTTTGTTCTCACAATCCAGGTTGACACTGCAGGGTGAGCCTACATTGTCAGAAGTGCCATCCTTTGGTTGAGATGTTAAATCGAGCTGTCATCTGCCCATTAAGTTGCCTGATAAAGATGCTGAAAAGAGGGATTTTCTGAGGGATTTCTTGGTGTCCTGACCAACAATCCTCCGGTCAATTGACCATTCACTTTGTGGCTGTTAATGGGACATTGCTATCTGCAAATTGGTTGCTGCATTCATCCACAAAATATAGTCACTACACTCAACATCATTTGGAGACCTGTAGCTTAGTGGTTAGAGCACCTACCTCACAAGTGAAAGAACCTGGGTTTGATTCCCGAGCAGGGTGAAATGTTGGGCAAATTCCCTTACTCCACATGTCTCTGTTTACATAGCAGTAAGAAGGAACCCGGTTGTTAGGCGATTGGCAGATTGCTTTTCCGGGGGTAATAATCCCTTCAAAAAATATTAATATGGTCACTCAATCCACAACTGTTTGTGGGACACTGCTGTGCGCAATTGGCTGGGGCGTTTAGCCACATAATATACAGTCAATTCACTTTACAGTATATTCTGTGAAGTGCTTTAGATGTCTCAAAGACATAACAAGGTGCTACATCAAATGCAAGGATTATTGTCATTATTATTTTCCATGAGATGTTACAGGCGCCACATGAAATGCCAAAAATATCATTGCCTCAGCTATCTGCAGTTAATAGCATTGCATAATATTAAGATAGATTTTCACAATCTACGGTAAATGGACATTTCCTCTCTGAGCACTTATAAAGAAAGTATTTTTGCTCCATCTGTAGTGGTAATTGATTGCAGCATTCCTCAAACTGAATTTCCACAAAGACTTCCTTTCGTCTGAAGGTGGCCAACAGTGTGCTGAAGTGCTTAACATTCCTCTGGCTTTGGTGTGGATAACACCACTCTTATGTTCCCTGAGACACTACCAACGTGAAGAGTGCTTTATAAAGTTGAGCAAGTTGTTCTTGTTGATCATGCTGAAACCTTGCACTTAATGTAACCCCTTTCACACTTTCTGAGATATCTCAGGATATGGTGCTCTGACCATTTCCTTCCTTCGAACCTCTTCCCAGCTCACAGTGCTCTTAAACTCCTTTCAGAAAATCAACATCCTTGAGCACTCCTTCACTCCCCTTCCTCCTACCCATCTTGCTCAGTGAACCCCCCCCCCCCCCCCCCCACACACACACACACAGTCTCAGTAAAACGTTTCCATGAAAGGTGCTATTGCTTTTGTTGGTGCTCACTCTGACAGCGCACCCTGTTGGGGCAAGAATCAGGGGCCTACTTGAGGAAGTGGAAACATATTAGCCAGTTCACTGGGTGTAAAAGTAGGCAGAATCTCCCACAAATGCTACCACCTCGCTTAATGGTTGCCTATAGACAGTTATTTGTCTGTTATTAAGCAGCTTGGAGTGGGAAATCCCAGCAACTGTATCTATCTAACACAAGGTTTCACAACCGAGGACAGGAAACACGCTTCATTCAGCAAACTGGGGGGTGCTCACAAGATCAGTTTAGATGTAAAAGGCCCTATTTACCCATTGATCTCACCCCTCAGAACACTTATCACAGGATAAAACTGTCCAGTATCCTGGCCTCAACTACCTTCCCTGGCAACCTTTTCCAGCTGGTAATTACCCTCTGGGTAAAGAAAAGCTTCCTCTTGTTGATCCTAAAATCGCCCTTTGTAACTCTAAGTCCTCTTGATCTACTCTCTCCTAAAATATTGCTCCGAATTTACTTTTCCAATCCACAATTTTAAAAGTTTTAAATCAAAATTTTAAAGAACAATCAACAAATTGCATTTTATACCGTGCCTTTCACGTCAGGAAGTCAACCCAAGGCACTGAAGCAGGAAGGGTGTGGAATGTGGAGCAGGCCAATAAATACCGCTATAGGATCTGTGGAGTCCTGTAGCTCGGTGGTTAGAACAGTTGCCTTGCAAGCGAGAGACCTGGGTTTGATTCCCAGCAGGGCAAAAGCTTGGGTAAATTTCCTTACTCCACACTGCTGATAATAATCCCTCAGGAAAAAAAAACCAATAATAAATTGGTCACTGTTTTTGAGACACTGCTATGCACAATTGCTGCTGCATTTTGCCCAAAAATATACAGTCAATTCATTTTACAGTATATTCTGTGAAGCTCTTTGAGACGTCTAGAAGATGTGAAAAGTGCTACATCAACTGCAAGGATTATTTTTACATATATATCTCGTGACTGAAAATTCCCCTCTTTCTCTCTCTCTCACGCACATACACACACGCAAGCACACACACAGACACAGAGTTGTTTTGCCGAAACTAAGCTGACAGCAAAGAGCCTGATGACAAATGAGAGGAACTAAAAGCAGGAAATGATCTCCAGCCTCAAGGGCAATTTCCACTTTAAGTGCTCTTAGGCAGAAACACTTTTATTAAAGAAAAGTGCAAACTTAATAGGAATCAAGCAATTAAATCATCTTCCCTTTTTGAGCATTTCAAACCTCAAGCTTTCCTTCTGCATTCCACATCTCCCCCCCACCCATCCCACTGCCAAAAGATCTATCACATAATTACAGAACAAAGCCCATTGAATTGATTCAAATTCCACTTTTTGCAGCTGAAAGATGCCATATGTGAAAGATAAACATTAAACAGCTGGACAATTGGGAAAACATTGCTTCATCAGTTAGCTATTGCCAGCCTTTATTTGGACATTTATTTTCCTTGAGTGTACTTAACAAATTGACATTTTCTTACCCTCTCTCTCTCCCTTCATCACTATGTTGGTACATAATAGTAGTAATAATAATTCTTGTATTTCACATCAGGAAGATGTCCGAAAGCTCTTCACCGGATGTACTGAAAAGTTAGTGACTGTGCATTTTGTGGGTTAACGATTCTCCCTTTTGTGTAGGGAGAATACAACTGAGTCCTCTTCAATGGGTCAGTTAATAAAGACACTGCCCAACTCCCCAGCATGGATCTCATTCTGGGAAACTCCCAGGTTCCAACTTTGAACTCAACTCAATTAATTCACTTAATTCAGCCCAGCAGTGGCATCAACACATCTAGGCCATGGGAAGCGGGAGATGGGGATAATGTCAGGGAGTTTCCTGCCTGTTGTCAGTGTATAGTGCCCCTGGATGAAGCTGCACACATGTGCAGATAAAAACAGAAAAAGTGGCTCAGAGAAACTTTATGCAATTAAATATTCCAGGAAATTTTGTTTTGCAACAGTCTTCAAAGTGCACAGCACGTTAAGTGATAAAGGACCACAGCCATCCAGAATCCACCAAACCTTGTAAAATTGATAAGAGGTCAACAAGAAAAAAAATGTGTATTTGTGTAATGGCTGTCACACAGCTTTTCTTCTTGGGCGTAGTCATTGTAGATAAACAGCTTGCAGAGCCAGAGCAATTTGGCACTGAACCATAGCTTGTACTTGTGCTATATGCAAACTGCTTCCATAATGACAATGCACAAAATGAGAGAGAGAGAATCTAATTTCCAGAAAATTGTGAGAAATATTATTCAGCTGAATTCACCGCCCCAAAAAATCACTCACATTGGTGCAGTTGCCAACAACGTAAATCAGCACACAATACTTACTGTGGAAAATGCTTTGAGATGAGACATGGCGTTGCTTGAAATGCAAATGTTATTCACTGAGCAAAGCAAGTGGGATTGGATTCAAATTATACACTCAAAAACACTTTGAGGCACTGCTGGATGTGTTTTTTTTGGACATCTGGTGGTCACGACGATTCACTGTGGCTTTCACACAATCAAAATCAACACCGTCAGTAGCTTAGCTATTCTGCTTTTATGTTCCAAATGCGGTCTTTTGAAAGAAAATAACAGAAACCTTTCAATCCACAAATATTGCACAACCGAACAATATTGTTTTAATATAATATTAAATATTATAATATAATATTGTGCAATATAAAAATATTGCACAAGCCAAGGCTTGGGGACCCCAGAGAATATTTTGGGAGTACTGCTGGAGTTCAAACAGCTAACTAGCTAACAATGTAACCTTTACTTTTTCTCTGCAAAGTGTTTCTCCTCCCACCCCCGTCCGGTCACTTGTGGCATACCCCAGGGCTCCATCTTTGTCCACCTCCTCTTCCTCATGTGCATGCTCCCTCTTGGCGATGTCATTCGCAGACATGGGGTCTGCATGTCCCTCGAGCCTGAGGTTCCACCATCAGTGGCCACACTTTCAGTCACTACGCCCTGAAACTTTGGAACACTCTTACTCTATCCCTCCGCCTTGACCCTTCCTTCCCCATCCTCAGGCCATGCCTGAAGACCTTCACTTTGACTGTGCTTACGTCACCTCCACACTCCCCTGTGCTCTGTCAAGCGCTCAGGGGCGCTAACCTGCATGAGAGGCGCAATGTAAACGCAAGTAGGTGTGGTAACAAACTGCAATGTGGAGATTTGGGGCAATGAAAAGAAACCTTTATATATAAAAATTCACGATCACTTGATCGAATAACTGTGATTTTTATGCAAACAAGACAAAAGCATCAGTAGTTTAAATATTCTGCTTTTATGTTCCAAAGGTCTTTTTAAAAACCAATTCTTACAAAGAATTCAACAGAAAATTAACTGAAACATTTTCATCCACAAATATTGCACCACTAAAAAAAAACACATTGAAAATAAAAGGTACAACATAAAATAAAGAAGAAAAAATGCACGTTTTGAAATAATAATTGTTGCATTTGATATAGCGCCTTCTCACATCGTCAAGACATCTCAAAGCGCTTCACAGGATATACTGTAAAGTGGATTGACTGTGTATTTGTGGGCGAATTGTGGCAGCCAGTTTGCACACAGAGTGTCCCACAAACAGCCATGGAGTGAATGGCCAATTTTATTTGGGGGATATGATGGCTGGGACACCGGGAGAAACTCCCATCTCTTTTTGAATAGTGCCATGGGAACTTTAATGTCCACCTGAGTAGGCAGGCAGGACCTTGCTTGAACAAAGAATCGGTCGGACAGGGCCTTAATTGTGGTCAAGAACCAGTTAACACAAAGTAAGGAACACTATTGGTCTAAATCCATCCTCGTGGCATTTTGCGTAAGGGAGCTGTTGTAAGCATCTGCCGCTGAGAGTTAGCTTATCACTCACCGTCAGCTACTCTTGCGTGTGGGTGAGTTACAGTCTCCTGAGGTGGTGCGTTAAGAGGGAGACAAGAAGTCTCTGTGAAGGTGTAGCTGATGTCAACAAAAGCCTCCTGCATAACATGCATCTTCACAGTTCAATGCAAATCGAAGCTCAAAGATCTGAAACTCCACCTCAGTCTTTGTAAGCACGTTAAAATGTTTTCAAATTGAAGATAACACAGAAATATGCATCATCTTTCAAATCCATAATTTGTAAACCGTTTTTTTTGGAAGATCCTGAAAAGACAGCTTCTAAACTCAGACTGGATTTCTTTGCACATTTCTAACCACATGTTAATTTCTAAGGCAGAATAGTCTCACTGGGTTAGAGATGAATTGTCATTTCAGGTCTCAGATAAGTGCTGTAATGAGTGCCCCTGTTCTAAAGCAACAAACCTGTTTTCATTGGAGCAGAGAGGAACCTGAAAGAGGTGTACAGAACAGCGTAAAATAGGGAGAAGCTATTTCCATTTTTAAGAATTACTAGAGGACATAGATATATAAGTTACAAGAAAAGCGAAAGAAGAGTTTAGGATTTTTCTTTTTAATACTCTATTGTTGGGATGTGGAATATTGTGCAAAATAAGGTGGTAAAGGCAGATACCAAGCGAGTTTCAAGATGGAAATAGACCCTAGATATATGACAGAAGTTTGAAGTGGGATGAGGATAGGGCAGGCCAGTGGGATTGAATGGACAGCTTTCTCTGAGAATAAGTGATGACTCAATGGGCTGAATGGCCCCCTTCTGCTCTGTGAATCTCTAGGAATCTATGAAACCATCACTTTTATGCAAGTATCCAAACTGCTAAAATATTACAAAGAAACCCAAGAACAACAATTATTAATTCACAGTATTCTTCGAATAAGCTTTTTGTGTCTTTATACTTTAACGTGACGCATTCTGTCCATTCACACCCTCCCCACCCACACACACCATCTTTTAACGGGACATTCACAGGATGGAGACGGTGTGTGGGTGTGTGCGCGTGCGTGTGTGCATGTATAGTACTCGCTGCACAGAGTTCTGCAACAAAGTGTGAAAAACCCAGGGCTCACTCCAGTGTATTGATTGTCCATTGTTTTAAATGAAACACACACCAATAATCGCACGACTGAGTGCTCTCGGCTGACGCTTTTTAAAGATTCTAAAGATCAGGCACGCGGTTTACTCGGTTTTAAAATACTCATAGGATTAGATTTAGTTTGTGGCAAATCCTCCCTCCCTTCCCCCACCGTTCAAAAAAAAAAGGAAGCATCAAGTGCCATGGCTGCCAAATGTCTGGCAGCAATTTGATAAATTGGTAATTCAGAACGAGGATTCCATTAGTTGCAAATAATGTTCACGATGAGCTGGTCTGGCACTCAAAATGAGGATGAAACGTGGCAGCCAATTGCACACAGCAGTTTCTCATAAACAATTGTGGATTCGGTGACCACATTTTTTGGGGGGTTTATTACCGATCCGCCAATCGACAACCGGGTTCCTACTTATCGCTAGAAAAACAGACATGTGGAGTAAGGAAAGTTGCCTCGGGTTTCATAGTGCCTGGGAATCAAACCCTCTCGTTTGCGAGGCGAGCGAGCTAACCTTTAGTCCACAGGACTCCAGAATGGATTTCCATCATCACTGGCTCGGCTATGAGGATGGTCAGCAGAGTTGGACCTGGTGGAGTCTGAAGCCTGGACAGATTCTTGACCAGGAGTAAAGATTGAGAAGAACCACGGGAAGAGTTGAGGCTTCCCCCAGGTTCAGCTTCAAACCGCATTCTGCAATACCCCCACTTCCCCCGACCCACTCCCCTCCTACAACGCCCTGACGTGAAGAAGAAATTTTTTTTTTTGCACTGACAAGAACTTTAAACAAACAAAAAATACTCACAATCGAACACATGATGGAATGTCAAGATAATTTCAACTCTGATTACAAACACGCAGACTGAGCACAACTCCTTTGTCTCCCATCACGCACCTCACCCTCTCCGAAAAAAATCAGAGCTAAATGCTCTTTGAAGTGATTGCTCTCCACCCAGTCAAATAAGATTAATTTCCTCCCCCCGATACTGTTAGAAAATGCATCTCAATTTCAGATCAACTGGGATGGTAGAAGGGATGGTGGGGGGAGTGAAATGAAATTGTGCTTCAGATGTTACCTTAATAAATCTCCTTCGGTCAAAAATAAATATCTGCACATGAGAGTTTCAGTGACCTCCTTCAACAAAACTCTTGCACACGCGATCGCCCAGTAAACTGTGTGATTATCAAATCGAATTAGACAGTGACAGGTAACAGCTACAGAATTGAACCGGAAACATGAAGGAGTTGGACCCGGAGGTCTGGCGGGATGTCCCAGGGCCTGGCTGAGCACTGGAGGCAGAGTGCGGAGCGGGGTGGGTGTGGGGAAGGAGAAGGGGGTTGAGGAGGCGACATCAATGTAGAGGCTCGTCGTGTCTGGGGGCTCCCGTGGTGGCTGGATACAAGTCCTGAACTGGATCATGAGCTCTATCTTGAATTAGATTGTGAACGTTATCTAGAGCTTTTGCCTTCATTGGTATCGGGGAGTTGACGTCTTCTGGAGGGGTCGAGTCCTGCTTAACTGCAAAACAAGACCCTGAAATAAGCCGCAGAGTTCGGACAGCTGAGGTCACCCCCCCATTATAAGGCAGAAGATCAATAAATCAGATGCCACGTTAAAGCGGCTCAGGGTATAAAAATAGCTGCCGGTCGCTGCTGACATCACTAAGTGCAGGAAAGCTGCCGGTCGGCGGTGAATATTGTAAATTTATATTTTTTGTGGAAATAACATTAGATTAGAAAAGCTACAGCAATTCAGGGGGGTTAGAAATGGCCTGTTAAACTAAGGCGAGAGATTGTGAGAAAATAATCTCTTAAACACCCAATGCAGTTAGTCGGAGGAGCCTTCTGGTTAGAATCAAGGAAGCACAAATTCCTGGTAACATTGTAAGCTACATGGTCTGCTGTCCCAACTGAAGGCCAACAGTCAGTTCAAGCTGAATCGATATTGTGCAGAGTTTAATTGGGTAAAACCTAATTAAAATTAAGGTTTAAAAATAGCACACATGATATAGTTCGGGGCAACTAAGATAAGGTCAAGACACTCATGGAAGATTGACTCGCTTCCCGGAGGGAATGGGCCATATCGATCCTTTTGTGTGCTATAGTCATTGCTATATAAAGTAGATGTATATCAAGGTTTGTTTACTTTTGAAGTGGTCTTTGTCTAAACGCAATTAAAGTCTCTGGCGAACTTCTTACAGCTCTATCAGGAGGGCAGCCGCAAAAGAGCCATCACCCCAGGGCGCCAGGGGGTCTTTTGCACCTGCACATAGTGCCAGAAGTGGCCATACATGGTTCAACCATGTTACTTATATCCAGAACCACAGTTTACTAGAGCGCTGCATAAAGGAGCCCCGACTGTGTGTGGGGAATAGAACCACAATGACCGACAGAGAAGTCAGGCCAACGGGTATTCCACAGGCAACACGAGGGGATGAGTGGCTCGGAATAAGACTCTTCCGTAAGACGCACTTGGTCGATTGGAATTTTTTCGTTATTGATTTTGTTTGGGGGAAAAAAAACCACAATCGATGTAAAATTGTCATACAACGCCCACAGGGCACAAACCTGGGTGGAATTTCAGCTCTATTTTGGGACCCTTCTGGCCTTGCTTCTTCTGCTCCATCTGCTGCATGGCCTGTACAGGGTTAACAACAGTTTGGAACATTTGGTCACATTCTCGGCACGAGAGGAGGCTCCCTCCGCACACGTGATGCAGAAGTGATAGAGAGGTGTATAGGAGAGGGTGGGGGACATTCGGAGGTTCATGTGGAGTATAAACACTGGTACGGAGTAATTGGACCAAATGGCCTGTTTCGACAATATACCAGTCTGTGTAATTCTATCTAACATAACAATCAAACACAACACTCACTGAGCCAATAGGGATTCTATTGACCAGGTTTTTTGTGGTGGTGGGGGGGGTATGGAGGTCCGTTAGGAGTCTGACACAGGAAGTCCGTCTTAACCACGCTTAAGAATCACTGAACCCAACAACTGAGAGTTCCACGTGTGTCTGGTTTCTGAACGTACATCTCTACAATTGGGGGTGAAGAAGTGTTTTACCAGCAGCAAGAAGGCCGGCAGCTCTAGAGAAAGCAATGGAGATTGTGCGGGGCAATGGGTTTGAATAACAACAACTTGCATGGGGGAGTGCGGGGAGGAACTCTCCCACGAGCCTCTTATCATGGTTGAAAGGCTCACCCATAACAAGATGCTGTCAGTGATAAAGCATTCCTCAGGGGACAACAATTTTAGGGGAGGAGGAAAACGGTAGCAGGTGATTGAACTCAACACTCGCCTCGTGGGGGGGGGGATAGGAGTGGGGGCTGCTGGGGGGAGATCAGGCAGGCGTGGGAGGTGTGAACCAGGTACCTGGTAGAGTTCGTGTTTCTGAACCTGAAGCTGGTTGTGCTGTGACTGCAGCTCCTGGTGTTGCTTCATCAGGTTGTGAGATTTCATGTTGAGCTCGTCCTGCTGCTTGGCCAGCCGACTCTCAAACTGCCGCAGCTCGCTCTCCGAGTAAAGGTCCTGCTGGTCCAGTGTCTGTGGAGCAAGCCACCCGCAAAGCACGGGGACGTCAGGCGTTAGTCAAGAGAGTCGCAGGGATTACAGCCAAAGCGGCCATCATCATCATCAACAACTTGCATCGCCCTTCACTTAGGGTAACGTCCCGTCGAGCCTATGCCATTGCCAGCTCCTCCAATGCAGCTCTCTGCTCAAGATAAAAGCAGTTATGCACTTCAATGCTGTTTGTTGGGCAATGCTTTGTGTAAGCTGGCTGCTGGGTTCACCTGCAAAAATACAGTCACTACACTTTCCCATAAACCCTGTGAAGCGCATTAAGATATCTTCTCGATATTAAATGCGAGGATTATGTATAATCTTTATGGGACCAATGCGGAGTATAAACCCCGGCATGGACTAGTGGGGCAAAATGGCCTAATTCGGTGCTGTAGACTGCATCTAATCCTTTGCACAAAACCGCTCTGAAGATCCTGACCCACATTTTGTCTGACTGGTGTCCAGCCTGTTCTGCCACGAGTCCGCCAGGGGTTCTCTGCTGCCGGCCATCAGAGAGAGGAGAACTTGGAAACCTCTTGCCAATTAATTGCACAATCTGCCATCGGTAGCAGATGTGGGAAATGGAGGGTCATGGGCAGGATTTCGACCACAAAATGCACCGTCAACTCACTTTACAATATACTCCACGAAGCGCTTTTGAGACGTCTCTAAGATGTGATAAGGCGATATATCAAATGCACGGATTACTATTAATGAAGCTCTCACACTATGTAGTTCACCATAGGCCGTGCTCACACCAGGGGCCTGGACTGCACCATATGGTCAGATCTTAACCCGCGCTCTTGGGAGTTTGCTTTACGTGATTACTCACCTCCCAGTTTTCTGGGTCTGTAAAATCTCTCTTTTCCGAAGCCTTGAGAAATTCCTCCAGAGATATCAGCCGGTCCTTGTTAATGTCGACCTGAGAACAACAAGAAAAAGATTATATTTGTATAGTGCCTTTCACGTCGGAAAGATGTCCCAAGGTGCTGGACACAACATTTCAGACCCGAGCTGGGGTCAGGGAGCGAGAAGGGAGGGGAGGGGAAGGTGGACGACTGATGGCATGGCCGAAGAGGAGGGTTTTGAAGCAGGACTTGAAGGAGGCTAAGGAGGGGCGAGGCAGAGTGACTGGGGATGGAATTCCAGAAGTTGGGGGCAGAGTGGCTGAAGGCTCTCCCGCCAATGGTGGGGCAGGTGGGTCGGGGGATGTGGAGCAGGCCAGAGTCGGCTGAGCGGAGGGAGTGGGTGGGTTGATAAGGGGTTAAGATGTTGCAGAGGTAGGGTGGGGCGAGGCCATGGAGGGTTTTGTAGGTGAGGACCAGGATCATGAACTGGATCTTCTGAAGGATAGGGAGCCAATGGAGTTGGGCGAGGGTGGGGGAGATGGGGTCACGGAGTTTGGTGTGGGAGAGGACACGGGCTGCAGAGTTCTGGATTATCTGCAGCGTGTGGAGGGAGGAGGTGGGAAGGCCGACAAGCAGGGAGTTTGCATAGTCGAGCCTGGATGTGACGAAGGCATGAACAAGAGTTTCAGCGGCTTGAGGGGTGAGGTAGTGGTGGAGTCGGGCGATGTTACGGAGAAAGGCACTGGGTTAGTATTTGACACGCATGCTCGGCCAGAATGAGGCAGAAGTGGACAATATTTTACCAAGCACAATTTCGCCTCAGCCTGAACTGCCTACCTCGTTCATGACGTGTTCCCTCATCCTCAGCCGCTCCTCCTCCATCTCCACCATGTCATCTTCCTCGTTGTTCGGATCGTAGATTTTCTCCAGCTGCAGGTTTGGAAGGGAACCAAAGTCACATTGTCGCACAAACAGCCATGAAACAAATGACCCATTTTATTTGGTGGGGGGTGGGGTGGGGGGGAATCTTGGGCAGAAACTCCCTTCTCTTTTCAAATAGTGCCATGAGAACTTTAATGTCCACCTAAAGACGTGATAATCACAAATGCAACGATTATTACTATTGTCATTTACAGCGCCTTTCACATCAGGAGGAAGTTTCCAAGTATTTCACAGGATATACTGCAACATGTACTGACAGTGTTCTTTGCAGTCAAAAGCGCAGCCAGTTTGCAGACAGCAATGTCCCACAAACAGCCATGAAGTGAATGACCAATTTTATTTGAGGGATTGTTGGCCAAGACACCAGGAGAAACTCCCTTTTCTGAATAGAGTCATGGGATTTTTAACGTCCGCATGAACAAACAGACAGAGAACTTTGGTTTAAGATCTCATCCTAAGGACAGCGGTTCTGTCTTGGCAGCTAGAACTGCATCAGCATGTCAGACTAGACTTGTTGAGTTCAATGCTGCAAGATAAATATTTGTAACAATCTACCCAGTACTTTAATCAAGACAAATGTTTGTTACTGGATTTGCAAAAGCTGCTGGAAAAGAGCCATAGAGAGCTGCGGGCAACAGCAGCTCCTGGTGACACCTGGTGGGAGAAACTGGTAACCACACACCCAAATGAAAGAGGACCCACCCAACACAAGATTGATACAATAAAGAAAAACACAGCTGCCTCTTTTGGTGAAATACTAATATAGAAAGGCTTTTACCGTAGGTGAGGTGCAGAACATTGTTTATACTGAGCCCAATCACTACGGCCGAGGGAGCTAAACAATAGTCTGTGCAGACGGAGGTTAAGGATCCCATGGCGTGATTCGAAGAGAGAAAGGAGCTCACTTCATGTTTGTATGTGGAACATCGCTGTGCACAAATTGGCTGCTGTCTTTGCCAGCAAAATACACAGTCACAGCACATCACCACACACGACAGTAAGTCCTGTGAAGCGCTCCTGAGGTGAAACATGCTAAATCAAATGCAAAGATTATGCCTCTTTTGTGAATCAGAGCCAACTGGAGCCGGGTTTGGTGAAATACGTGGGCTCCAGATCCCCACTGAAACACAATACCTCTTTAGTAAACAGAGCTTCCAACTCCTGCTCGTCCAGGAACTTGTCCCCATTGCTATCTGGTGGGAAAACAAAAATAAATTCCAGATTGCAAACGTGTCAGTGAATTAAACATCGCCATTGATTCAACATCTTGTGTTGTTATTTGAACATTCTCCTCGAACATTCTCTCGGGAATCAGAGAGTAATGTGGTCTCCATTAAGATATCTTTTACCCCAACGCCTCCCCATACACCCAACACCACCCCCGACCCCCACCCCAAAACATACTGAACTCCCCCCACCCATCAATCCTCTCCACCAGCTAATAACCACCCCCAAAACCAACCAACCAACAAGCCCCTCCCGACCTTCACCACTTCCCTCCCCTCACACAATCTCTCCCTCTTTAGTCAAAGATACGTGCCAGATTTCTGGACCAAATGGCCTGTTTCTATGCCGCTTTATTCTATGTGATTCAATGCCATTTACTGCAAGCTAAGAGCAGGACTCCAATCCTCGCTGTACCTGGCCGTGTCTCACATTTAAGAGCCACTGATCCCAGCCTCACCGTGTAGCTTGAAGAAGGTCTTGGGGTCAAAGTCTTCAGGGTCAAGGCCATCTGTTTCCTCCCAAACTTCTTTCAACTGATCCTTGCTTCCCTATTGATAACAGGACATAGCACACAGCGGGTCAGAGTTATTGTGGCAATCACACTGTAGAATTCTTGGAGAGGGTGAAATAACCCTTTAGAAAACCCTCAACAAAATTCGCATCAAGTCAGCAGGAAAAGAAATCGCTGGTCCAGCAGTGCCAAGGGCAATTTCTGGGTAACGAAGGGTAATTTCCGACTGAAATGGGTTAACAGGGAGGGTGATTGAGGCTAAGGCTCTGAACATGGTACACAACAATTCATTATAGCTCCTTATTGCTTGGTGGAGATGTCTCAAAGTGCTTCACAAGTTTTACTGGAAGAAGTGTAGTGACTGTGTATAGTAGCCAATTTCTACACAGCAATGCCCCACAAACAGCCTTGGAGTGAATGACCAATTTTATCTGGGGGATTGTTGGCCAGGACACCGGGAGAAACTCCCTTCTCCTTTCAAATGGTGCCATGGAGCCATTTGAATAGGGAGACAGAACCTCAGTGTAATTTCTCATCTGAAGAATGGCATCTGTAACAATGCAGTACTCACACTGAACTAGAGTGCCAGCCTTTGCCAGACTGTGTGAGCTCAAAGTCCTGACATGGGACTTAAACCCATAGCCTTCTGACTTGGGAGTGCTACAAACAACAACAACAAGATTCTATTTATAGAGCGCCTTTCACGTCGGGAGGACGTCCCAAGGTGCTGGACAGTTGGGTCAGGACCCAAGCAGGGGGGAAATGGTCAGGGTTAGGGGTGAGGTAGTGCCGTAGTCTGGCGATGTTTCGGAGGTGATGGAAGGCGGTGCCAGTTGTGGCGCGGATATGAGGAAGAAAGGACATCTCAGGGTTGATTTTGCGCACATTGAGCTGAAAAAGTTGTCTCTCGTCCAGGACTCGATGTCGGACAGGCAGCTGTCAGGACATCGGTGGTCGTGGAGTTGAGGGTAGAGGAGGAAAGGTAGAGTTGGGTGTCATCCGCTTACATGGACGCTAACCCCATGTCTGCGGATGATGTCAACAAGGGGGAGCATATAGAGGGTGAAGAGGAGGGGACCGAGGACAGAGCCCTCTGTCCTGAGCCAGATTGATAATTAGAGTAAATCTAGACTTGGACAGAACCACCCTTTGCTTTCTCACCCCCTTTACGTGAAGAAATATCTTACTGGATGGTGAACTTTGGGGTGGTCCCTGTGTTTCTTTTTCATCTCCTCAAACCGCATCTCTTCCTCTTTCCTCCGCACATCGTCCAGTGTCTTCAGATATTCTCTCCGTTCATGCTCCTTCAGCATCTCGTACTGCTTGAACTCTTCGTGTCGGTCCCGGTCATAGTTCTCCAGGTCACTGGTGGCCTGCGCAGAGATGAGACTAACTTAAGACACAATACGAAACACAGACAGTAGCTTTTGCATCCTCCATTGTTCATGCACACTCACCACTGAAATTAAGACTGCAACATCCCTAATGGGCTACAGGGTTAAGAGCAGCACTAGGGCCAGGCTATTAGGGAACTTAGGAGGGACTTAATCCCACAGAAGGTGGTGAGAATTGTGAACTCACTGCCAGGACCCTGGGGTCAGAGCAAAAGGCAATATATTTAACAGAAAACTTGATGCATAGACATGGGAGAATAGAGAAATACAGGAGAGGGGAAAGCTCATGTGGAGCCTAAACAGTGGCATGGACAGATAGGGTAGAACGACCTATTTCCGTGCCATGTCACCGCTCCACTCATTAGCTGATCTCAGCCTGTGCTGAGTCAATCAATGTCAGTCCATCTCCTGATCGTTATTTATAGCAGTGGTGGCCAACCTGTGGCCCACGGGCTAGGTATTTTGTTGGCCGTCCATAAAGGTTGGCCACCACTTTAGAGCTCTACTAAAAATATCCGGGTGCAAATGTCAGATGGAGCTGAGCAAAATGGCAGCCCCCATTGTCACGAATAAAAGCTTAATGAGGCACATTTTGGGTTACTGGAAAGAGCTCCCGACTTGCTTAAGAAATACCACAATGAGCACTCACGGTTTTGATCAACATCTCCAGGTCTTCAGACTCGAAGCTGTGTGGGTTTTGATGGTTGAGGTGGTCGAATTGTTTCAGCAAAGCATGGTGGTCTATTTTGATGTCTGGAAGGTTGAAGATAGCAGAGGTCAGTCAGCACAATCCAACTTATATTTATACAGCACCTTTCACATCAGGACATCTCAATGTGATTAACACTGCTAGCCGGACACCAGAGCTGAGGGTAAAAGCCGAAGGGAGGAGGGGAGGAAAGAGGCTAAGATGACCAAGTTGTGAACGTTCTTTGACTCTATATGTTTTTAAGCAGGATTGAGCTGGACCTTTCTGATATGTTATTTCAGGATTGGTAGCCTGAAGATGAAGTGGTTTCTTTCTTTTTAGTAGAAAATTCCCTCTTGGGGCTGTGTTAGGTTAGGGCAGCAGTGGGTAAAGTCGCTGAATTATCTTAGCTGCACTATTCGCCAGTGCGGACTATTTAAATCTAGGGCAGGTAAGGTCCCAAAATAATCCTTTCATGTAGCACAATTCCGCTACACAAGGGCTACTTTCTCTTCAGGCCATTACTCTTAGCAGACAAGGTAACCTGTACACATTTGTTCTGCTCATGATATGGAGTGAAAAGTGCGGTATGGAATTACCCAGAAATACCTACTTTACTTGACAGAAAAGACCCGTGAAGCACTTTTGAGACATTTTGTCATGACAGATATTATTATCATGCCAGGTATTGGATCTTTAATTCCTTTGCTTTCGGAGCACGCACTGAGAGGAAGGATACTTTAGCAGTGTCGAGATAGTGAAAGACAGCACTGGGTTAGGAAACATCACTTGAATGCGATGAACAGTCACTGGACTGTGAGTGCAGAGTAAATAATCCATAGTAAACAAATTAAGGTTAGTTCCTGAACAGTACCTTTTCCTTGATGCACATCCATTTTGGCTTTGATAAGCATCCGTAACCGGGCTACCTCCTGGCGTTTCAGTTCATCCAGTTTACTTCTCACCATGTGACTGACTAAGTTCAGCTCTTTAGACAGTTTCCCAGCCTTCACAAAATAAAGCAAAGAAGAGAGAGATTAACATGGAGACACACAAATGTAATCACATCTGCTTCAGAGTTACACCTAACATGGTAATTGCAACATCTGAATGAACCAAGACAACAGAGGAAGCATTTATACAGGTGAATCAGTCACATTTCGTGCTTCCAGGATCACATCTGGCTGGACACGGCTATTCACATAAACACACAATAATTAGGGATTGTTAGATGTTCCTTTATCGAGAATAAGGTTTCCCTTCACAGAACACTTTTAGAATCATTCACTCTGTATCTAACCCATGGTATAATTTCCCTGTTGGATGGGCAGCGCAGAGTGACCTTTACTCTGTATCTAACCTATGCTGTCGCTGACTGGGAGAGTTGGATGTACAGCATAAAGGAAGCATGGCTATTAGCAAACAAAAACAACGCCTCATGAACTATTCATGTTTAATATCAAAGATAATCCTTCTTCAAAAGAGAAGCAGCATTCAGTGGGTAATATGAGAATATACTGATCCATCGCTGGTTGCAATGTCACATTCTGGCCATTAGGTGGTGCTCATTCCCTCAGATAATGAAAAACAGTAATTGCTGCACCAAATCTACAATAGCCTGAGTGCAAGTATTACAATAGGGTATTACAATAGCCTGAGTGCAAGTATTACAATAGGGTATTACAATAGCCTGAGTGCAAGTATTACAATAGGGTATTACAATAGCCTGAGTGCAAGTATTACAATAGGGTATTACAATAGCCTGAGTGCAAGTATTACAATAGGGTATTACAATAGCCTGAGTGCAAGTATTACAATAGGGTAGTTTGCTGTCGGCAATCGAGTGGTATCAGCAAGACTTGCTGGGAGGGAGAGGTTAAGGGTTCATCGTGCTAGAATAGGGCAGCGGTAGGGAGGGTATTTTGGAAGGATGGGGATCAAATGGACCGAAGGATCTTCTTCATCCAAAGACCTCTCTTGTGACTGCACAAGCTACAGTAGTTTCCAGCTGCTACTATACCCTGGTGCAGGATCGATCTCCCAGACACAGAGTCTCTGCGAAACAGTCACAGCAGCTGCCTGAGATGGTCCTAGTGACACTGAAGCTGGTCTTACATTCAGTAAAGAAAAGACACCAGACAGGGGATTCCACTTTGGAACAAGACAGTGCCAGTCTTTGTATGGCACATACAGGGAGAGCCAAGTAACTCTGTTTCTCTACCAATCTACACACACACACAGCAGCAGGAGATCTAGGATAAAAGGGTTATTTATACATGTGCTGTGTAGCAACATGCTGTGCACTTTCATCAAAGTACACAACACTTTTAGACCTTAGAGGCTGGATTGTGTGAATCCGAGCATTAAAGACTTTAATACAATTTTAACGAGCTTTTCAAATGCTAATATGGAAATATTAAGGCGCTGTGACTTGTGGTGTGAGCAGCAGGGACCATATGTAGCACATTATAAAGTATCAAACCTCTTACAGGATCAAAACACAGCAGCCTTGCTAGTGGCCTTCTGCCATGGCACCAAATACGGCAACTCTCGGCAAACGGGTGAACTTGACCAAAGTTCAGCTGCTGTGAGCAGAAATGAGGAGACTCTTCACCCACCCAAACCACCCCCTCCCCCACTTCCTTTTTTCCTCTCTTTCCCCATCAATTTTTCTCCCCTCCCTCTCCTCCAGTGGAAATACAATGGGAGGGGAACGCTGGGAATCTGAATCAAAAATCAAACAGGACCCAAAGGAGAAAGGCAGGGAACATTTTGGATTTGACCTTTTGTATCTCAATATGCGAAGCCTTCACTGAATAGAAAAATAGTGTAACAGAAGGGAACAAGGAAAGGGCATGGGACTAAATGGACTGACTGTTTGAGAAAGTAGGCACAGTGGGCCAAATGACCTCCGTCTACTCTGAAACATGTTATGGTTAGGCACTTTTAACCTGTATCTCCTGCTCGCTTGCTGCCCAAAGTACCTTGATCTCTTCTATATCCGCCGTCTGAAGCTTCTTCCGAAAATGCTTGTCCGTTTCCAGCACATCAATCACTTCCCTGAGGTAGCGATCATAATATAAGCCAGTGTCCTGCGCAGAAAGGGAAAACAGGGCGATGCATTAACGTGTGAACATCAATGCAAAACCCAGAGCTTGGATAAGTTAATAAAAATATTACACTTGATATAGTGAAATAAATCAAAATTTCACAGATTCATTGCTGAATGTACTAACTGTATTCATAGGCGAACGTAATATTCACATAGCAGAGTTCCATAAATATGAAGCGATTGACCAACTTATCACCAATTTATGTGGAGAAATGTTTTTCTTTTTCCAAATGGTATTGTGGGATCTTTAAAATCCACCTAAACTGATAGTGGACAGAACCTTGGTTTCAGGTCTCTCATCTGAAGAGCAGCACTTCCGACTCTGCAGCTGTCCCTCAGACCTGCACTTAGTGTCAACCCGCAGTGTGAGCTCAAGGTTTGAACCCGCAACCTTCTGACCCAGAGGCAAAAGAACTACCAACTGAGCCAAACTCACAAGGTTCAGTATGGAAGATAAGAGTACACCGTAATGCCGCACAAAACCCAACCTACACAAAATGCCTTTCCCTACAAACCATAAGGATGGAACGCAAGACTGAGAAATGTGGTTATATGAAAAGCTCCTTGTAAAAACTGTAATAATAATCCTTGTATTTGGTACAGCACCTTTCAAGTCAGGAGGTCGGCTCAAAGCACTGTAACATGTAGTGACTGGATTTTTGTAGGTGAACATGGCAGGCAGTTACCACACAGCAATGTCCCACAAACAGCCATGGAGTGACTCTTACCTGGGAGATTGTTGGCCAGGACACCAGCAGAAACTCCCTTCTCTTTTGAGTAGTGCCATGGAATCTTTCATGGCCACCTGAACAGGGACAGACAGGGCCTCAGTTTAATGTCTCACCCGAAGGAAGGCATCTCTGCCAGCCTGTGTGTTTGAGTGTTAGCCTGGACTGTGAGTTCAAAGTCTCAATGTGGGACAAAGAGCACATTGTGGATGTGGATGCCAGATTTATACCCAAAGCCAGAAAAGTGAAGAGGTAGGAAATGAGGTGAAAAAAACCCACACATTGCAAAGCCAGCCATCAGCACTTTCAACAGGTCAACACTATTCAACCTAGCCAGCGCACGCTGCAGTTCCAAAGGGGGAAGCAGTTTATTTGGGCAAATGGCTTTATAGTCATATCCAGCAGCCGCAGACAGACATGAACTTGTGGACCCAATAGTTCTGGAATTAAATAGCTTCATTCATAAAGAATGCCCAGCCCCTGTGGGAGCTCTGCCAATTCACTTATGATTTACGTCAGTTCAAACTGCATGTTATAGGGAAAGATACCGTCCCATTCTCAAAATGACTATTGCATTCTACATCAATCAGCAAGTGCAGGACAGAGAGAGAGAGAGAGATACTCAATGGTTAGTCATGCAAATAAAATACAACTGGCCACATTTTGGGGGTGGGTGGCAGTACAAGGCAAAGCAGCGAGAGGAAGCTCTTGGTGCAAATACAGAACATTTCACCTCAATGTGAATGAGTTTATCAACAATCTGCTTAGGGCCAGTCTTGCCTTTTGTCTACCCCAGCACATTTTGTGCCATGAAACATACTGGGTTGAGACAACGCAAATCACAGTGCTCCTGACACCACGGTTGTTTTAGGAGCAGCGCAATTCATAGCCGCTGTAGTAATAACGCGACGGGTGGGAGCCAAATGGGACTCTGCTCTCCCCTGGCCAATATAAAGCTCTTTCGCACTCAAAACAAGCAGGAATCAAACCTCCTCATCCACACCACTCCGTTGTTGGAAGCCAAGTCACTTAATCCTGCAAATATAGGCAAACCAAACATACCACACACACAAACCTCAGCTTTATTGAGACACTCTTATCATAGAGAGAACTCAAATTAGGTTTTGCTAGTGTAAAAGTACAGTCTTTAAAAAAACCTTCCATTGCACACAATTTAGGCTGAACACCTGAGTAGATCTGAGATGGAGATTCTCACGTACTGTACTTGATGCAGTGAGTTCACCACAAAATCTTCCATTTACACTCACTTATTTTATAAGGTTTGAAATAATTAGTTTTTCCTCTCCTCCCCCTTAGGCTCACTGGTGATAATGGAGTATAATGGAATTGCTGTCAGTAATCCCAAAGACACGGCACATTTGAGAGGTAACTCTTTTTCTGAGTTGCTGAGTTTCTCCCCGTTGAATAGCTCTCACGCAGCAGCACATAATAATAATAATCCTTGCAATTGATATAGCGCTTTTCATGTCTCAAAGCCCTTCACAGAATATTCTGTAAAGTTAATTGACTGTATATTTGTGGGCGAAACACGGCAGCCAGTTGCGCACAGCAGTGTCCCACAAACAATCGTGGATTGAAGTGACCAATTTTATTATTGTTTTTTTTCTTGAGGTATTATTATCAGGTGAGTGAAGTAAGGAAACTTGTCCAAGGTTTTGTCCTGCTGTGTAAACAAGTTCGGTGTGGCATGACAGGCATCGAATCTGGCTTAAATAAACTATCGCCCTTCCTGACACTTCAAAAATCTGACTGCAGCCAAATGCCGAGCAAGCGAAACAGACTTTGGATGATGAACGGCACTAAAGTCCTCGTAAACCAGTGTGGAAACACAAGGAACATCGACAGTGCGCTTACGCTGCCAGGCAAGGGCTTTGTTAAGTGTCTGCAGAAGGGATCGTACAAGCTGGTTGGAACCAAGCAAGGTACTTGAGAGTTTCAATGTAGACGGCATGAATCTAATGCAGGGTCACTCAAGGGCGGCTCTATATCACTCAACAATACCTGTGCATCCAAGACTCTGTAAATCTGGACTGGTTGTCAACAGGGTATTTCAACCAGCTGGGGCTTAATCACAGCTGAGTCACCACACTGTCCTCATCTGATTTCCACAAGTCCACATGAGTTAATCGATAATGAATTGGGGGAACCCTACCTCATTAATACTTCCCCTACCCTCGGCTTCCTCAGGCCATTTGTTGCGCCCCTAACTGTTGCTCCAGCTCAGATCAGCCAATTCAGCATTGACGGAGCCTTTGGTCCATACGGATTGGCACCACATAAGGCGGAGACTTTAACCCACTAACTGGCACCTTCAACTGCTCCTTCGGCCACTTTGCTTTTATAAAACAATTAAAAATAAAGACAGTAATTGTATCAAGAGATTGTGTCAGGAATGTTCTGCATGTGAGGACTGCATACAATGCATCAGAACAGAAAGAGGCAAAGCAAAATGGTCACTGATTTCACAGCTGTTTTAAAGACCATGTTTTGTACAAATTGTCTGCCGCATTTGTACACAGTCACTAGACTTCACAGAAATTACCTGCAAAGCATTTGGGAAACATTTTAGCAGATTCGATTAAATGCTATTATTAGCTACTATCTTAACAAGTACTGTTATGATGGAAAGGAAGAAATCAAGGAACACACATGCGTCAAAAATAAGGGTCAATGATCATTATTAAATTGGACACAGAGGATTTGCAACGTGGAAAAATCTTCCAACTTCTGCAGGGATCAGTGGGAAAGTATTGGGAACGGTCTCCTTCGCCTTGATTCCCTTCCAAACCTACTGAGTCACCCGAAGATGCCACATCACCTCCTTCCAGCTCCCAGCAGCCTGACCCCATCTCTCCCGCTGCTTTGAGAGGTAGGGTTAACGATTTTATTCTACAAAGGCTTTCCACGTGAAGTGCTTGCTTTCATGCAGAGTCGAAAAGAAAATCGTTAAACTTTTCCTGAGTGTCAAGAAATACCTCATTTCTTTCCGCCACTTTGAAATCAGCCAGAATGCACACATTCGACTGATGGTTGACTGATGAATCGTTAGCTCGCAAGACATGGAACATCGCTCCAGATGCTAACAATCAGTGCTGCTTCCTCTACAGTAATGCTGATGGGGAGGGAGATGGGAGGAAATACAAACAAGCCTGATCATCAGTATTACAGGGATGAATTGCAAAGAGCAACTCGATAAGCTAGGACCTTAACAAAGCATGCAAGATACTTAAAAGGATAAGGTGAAGGGAACCCAAAGCACATTCAAATGAGGTCAGGATGCATTTCTTCACGCAAAAGGCTGTAGCGGCAGAATCAATAGGGATGTTTATAGTAGAGGTATTGGAGGTATGGTGAAAGACCAAGGCATTGAGATTACAAGGCCTGACAGGATTTAATAGAGTGGCTGAATGGTCTCCTCTTGTTCCTGTTGTCCTGTGTTCCTATCAATATTTCTGATAGACAAAGACACGAAGTGCCCACAATTAGGGACAGAGATGAGGAAGTATATCAATATTATGAATGGGGTTACCAGGAAAGAGGGAAAGGTTGAAACCAAATCACTGGACTCATTTGAGACATCGCTTGAAACTGCATTGGGAGGATGAAACCCCCCACCTCAAAAAAAAACCATATCAAAGTCGTAGTGACTGGCAAGTAATAGATTTAAAATGCATATTTTTAAAACATTTTTAAAATTGTTTTTAATGAGATTACTTTGATTTTATTGTGGCTCGAATGGTTCACCATCATTCAGGGCAATGATAGGATTTAAGCAAACTGAGTTTAAATGTGAAACTGAAATAGGAAATCCCCTCCCGCTCATCCCCAAAGCTCCTTCTACAAACTTTTGCGAGGTCTCTCCACACTCGACACATTAACGAGTATTCCGACCTTAGAGCAACAGAGTGGGCACACAGACCCCAGAGTAGAAGCCTTCTGTTCAATGCATAAAATGTGATTATTGCTCTGCATAATAATTGCAGTCCTTGATGTGCGGGTCTTGCAACTAAACTCCTGCAATGACCTTGTATGCCACATTGGGGAAACGCCTCAGTTCAACATTATGAGTGCTACCTTTGGTGATGTGGGTCACTAATGGGGTTACCTCCGATTAAAGTCACACATGGAGAAATTATTTCCACTATTCGGTGAGTCAGCACCTAGAGGGCATCAATTTAAGAAAATTAATAAACAAGTAAATGGAGAGGTTGGGAGAATTTTTTTCATACAGAGTAGCTAGGGTATGAAACGATGGTTAATCCATATTGATCTTCAAGAGGGAACGAGATAAATACCTCAAAAGAGTCAGCTTCAGGAGTAAAGGGAAAGGGCAGATAAGTAGAATTGAAAGGATTGCTCTTGAGGGAGCTGGCACAGACTTAATGGGCCTTCTGTGCTGTACGTTTCTATGTTCTATTGCCAAAGGCGCCAATGCTGAACGCTTAACATAATTTTATGTGTACCTTTTCCAGGAACCAGTTTTTACATCAAGCACTCTCCTTTGCATCTTAAATAATATATGAATTGCCATCACAATAAGTAATACTAATCCTTGCATTTGAGTTAGAGTTCTATCACCTCGCCGAGGTGCCTCAAAGTGCACAGCTAATTCCAATTTTAGTTTTACAATTTAATTTTAAAAACCACAAAAAAAGTGCAAAATGTTAAAATCCCCAAAACCCTCAAAACATTGTCCAATCCAACAGGATCTGCTGGCAACAATTCAACTGGCTTTGTCTTCTGCCACACCAATCGTTGTTACGGTTCAATACAACACAAGTAACCCTATAAACACTCCTCTTTCAGTCTTGCCCAGCTACAGCCTCTAGAACTCTATTCAAGTCCCACATCCCATAGTCTAAGCTGAAACTCCAATGCGGTACTGAGGGGCGGGGGTTGCTGTCTTTTGGATGAGACATTAAACTGAAGTCTCAGCTGCCTGTTCAGATGGTTGTTAAAGACCAATATTCACGTGCAAGTCTCGGCAATTGTCGCTGTAGAGTAAGTCACAGCTGAGCCTGACCTCTCCCCAAATACACACACATAGAATCATATTCTAAGAAGCTAATTATTATTTCAAAATGATTTTTGTGCAATAATCCTAACTTTTTCTATTTTAAAAAAACGAAAAGCCAGAATGTTTTTAAATGCTTTACCAACCAACTTTCTCAATTCAGTGAAACAAGTCACTCATTTGATCAGGCGGACTAGCCTGGATCAATGTTTTCCTCCTACACATCAAGACACAGGTTTGATTCCAGGGCCGGGCAAAACTTAGGCAAGTTTCCTCTGTTTTCCTAGCAGTAAGTAGGAACCCGATTGGTAGTTGATTGGCAGATCGCATTCCCAGGGTAATAATCCCTTCAAAAAAATCCCCCACAGACACCTTCTCCTCCCCACCACCCTGCCCTGAAATCTCCACTGTTGGATCGCACAGCTGGGAGTACCTATTGCAATGAACTGGCATTTAAATATGTATGTCTTTCCAATATAGATTGCAGGTCAAGATAAACTTGCCAGAGCCAATAAGATAAAAGAACAATGTTCTTTCCAACAGGATCCCACTGTAACAATCAGTTGCAAGAATCAAGCTGTTTTGACTGGTTGAGATAAGATTACAGTAGTTACATATAAAAAATTTGACACTACTCGGGCTTATACCATTAACCATCTGCTGCTCTGGACTTGTACCACTCATTCCTCAAACTAACTCTGTACCACATACCCATTAGCAACCCACCCTCCCATAGCACCCAATTATTCCATACACAATATGTCCTTTGCCAGTGGTGGCTAACCTGTGGGCTGCGGGGCCCATCAAGAAGCAGCTCCCCGAGAAATTGCACGAGTCGAGGTAAGTCCTCGCTCGATCAGTAGTTTCAGATTTTATTGATTGAATATTTCTTGATTTATGGCATAAATTAAGAAATATTCAATCAAGAAAATGTAAAGGTTGGCCACCACTGGTCAATGGAGAGGTTTTTATTGCTGATCTGTAGAATGATAGAAAGCCTCACGTGTGGTTCCATGGTCTCTTGTGCTGGCATCTCCACATCTATGGGTTTTATCTTATCGATTGGCACAGCTTCAGCAGCAACAAGGAGACCGATCAGTAGCCAACAGTGTAAGGGCGTTGGTCGTTTCCACCTCATCTACAACACACAAAGAGCAGCAATATCACAGAGTTCCCTGGTCAGAATCATGATATTTCAGCTTCAACCAAAAGGACCACCTCTAGAATAGCAATTTATGAAACTTTTGATTCAATTGTCAGTACATTGTGCAAACATATACATCTTAGACCTACACAGCTTAGTGAAGTAACACTATTGCTTAATGTAATACAGGCGCAAATACTTTCTGTAATGCACATGTGGTAAGGAAGGGTTCAGTTTCTTTACTGAACAAAGCAATGCAATAAAGCACCTTATAAAAGTGGAAGACTCTGTTAAATCTAGCCATAGTCATTGGGCTCCTTCGATAGTTCAGGGAATGGACTGCACCACATGATGTGTGGATCAGACAAATAGCCCAGGTTCAACCCACAGTCTGTGCTGACTTGGATAATCACAATTGGGGCAACGACAGAATACTAAAATTGTTCTCAGTGTCCCCCAGTAAGGCAGGGTCAGTTGTGGGAGGGAATTAGAGAGAAAAAAAATTAACCAGCTTTCAGTTACTTTACATTGCCACTTGCTGGAAAATTGTGCGCATGTGAATGTCTGGTATGCTCTGGCGTGGCTAAGCAAACAGCCAACCTTCGCTGTCTCATCACACAAATATAAAATGGATTGTGCACATCAGAAGCTGGGTCGAGACTGCTCAAACCCATTTCACTTTTGTCTTTGCGTTAGCAAACAGAGAGGAGCCCTTCATTATCAGGCTGGACAAGAATAAAAGGTGACCAAGTAAAATTATGAGCATTCAATAAACAATTTACAGGAGTGATTACAATGACTCTAGCTAGCAATTGTGCTTTCATTATTCATTACACTTAGGTCCATCGGAACCTTTTAATGGGGAAAGAAGAAAGGGCAAACATGCCAATGAGCAAATAATATAAAAAGTCTTGAAGTGTTTCATGGAGACAGAGTGGAAATCCAAGCAAAGTGGCAAATAGCAAGTGGATCTGGGGGAAGGTGACCAAAAGCGCAGTTAAAACTATAGCTTTTCCAAAGAGTTTTGAAACAGAGAAGGAGGCAGCAAGGCACAAGGAATTTGAGAGATTAAGAGAGTGATTCATAATGGCTACATCCCAATTACCTGAATTATGTTTATATGGCAGCTCAGCAGATATCACTCAAGTTCTCTTCCCCACTGAGTGTCGAACAAGGTTTGGAAAGTTAGAAAGACCTATGTATGTTTCTTCTATGGCTCATTTAGTAAAACTTCTAAGTCATATAAACCCGGAAAATTTCTGAGAAGGAATTTCATTGGGAAACAGTTGGGATGCTCCAATTCAGATCAGTGCCCAGGACTAATGGGCGAGAAGTGGGTTGGGATTTAATGTGGTGTTCAGTTCTTGATCGCTATCCAAAAAAAATCACAAGAGGTATGATGCAACTTACATCTGATTACAAAACAGCTCCAGCCAGTCACAAAATGCCTAGTCTTCTTGTTTCTAACTGATAGATTTTGAGGGGAGGGAGTGATGGTGGTGGTGGAACAATTACCCAACATCCAGCTCATCATTGAATTGGTCATGAGCCTGAATCGCTCACTCTGCCATCACTGCAAACACAAAACCTGCTGCCCAATAGTTCCAAATAGGATATTTTGATAAAACAATAATAATAAATAATAATCCTTGCATTTGACAATGTACCTTTCACGCAGGAGAACGTCTCAAAACACTTTGTAAGATTAACTGTAAAGTGTAGTGACTGTGTATTTTGTGGGCAAACACAGCAGCTAATTTGCACACCACAATGTCTCACAAACAGCTGTGACCAAATGAACAATTTTATCCGGGGAACTGTTGGCCAGGACACTGGGAAAGAAACTCCTTTCTCTTTTCGAATAGTACTATTGGAACTTTAAAATCGGTTCCAACGGAAAATAAGTCAAGTGCAGTTTACTGGGCTGGAGTTTACCAATAGGGCGTTCAAGCCTTCTACAGGGCAGCTGTCCTCAATGTAAAATTTTATTGTTAATTTAATTTGTATTAAGGTAACACATTTTGATTGGAAACAGCCATTTTTATTTTCTATATGTTTCCTCACTGGACACCTCCTGCTATGTAGCAGCTTGCTCCTTTGTGCCTTGGGCAGCGAGAACAGAACAGTAATTAAAACCATTTGTGGAAGGATCGATGATTGGATTCTCTAAGCACTTACATTGAGGCAAGACCAGCAAGACTCAACTGCTTGACAGCAGTCATCAGCTACAGAGAATGGACACACCATCAGCACCGGTATCTCAGGTAATGAAAAATGTAATGAGTGTGCCCAGGGCTGTGTACATTACTCAAGTTTCAAACAACACATTCCACCCTCTTCCTCCCCAACAAAAACAAATCAGTGCAAAATGCAGATTGATGCCTTTGTTTAACGCAACTGTTTGGAGGCACCTTTTGTGTCATCATTTTACACAAAAATAACGTTACACAATTTAAACTCCATCTGATGGCACTTTTGAGCTGAAAGCACTTGGGAAACTTCTTCTTTGACAGAGTGCACTCCATTCAAACCGCACATCTGCACTGAAACACCAATAACAAACTGACTTGACGTACTTATATTGAAAGTTGCTGTAACACAAGGAAGGTAAGAACTCATATACCAAATTGTAAGACCATCTTTTAGAGAGAGCTGCTTTGAGATAAAGGCATAGTGTTTTTTAATTAAGCAAAAAAGTGCTCTGGGTCACTACCTTGCAGTGAAGGGCGCTATATAAATGCAAGTTTTTATTGTTGTTTTCCGAATCATCAAGAAACAAAGTTGATCACACAAAAGAAAGTTGACCCACACAGCGCAGACAGATACCCAAACACTGGGAACAAGGAGACAAGGAACTCTCGCCCATGGGGTTATGTTTTATGTTAATAATATTCACACCGTTTAACACGCTCAATTAACATTTAATTGAGCCTTTGGCACCATTTTTTTTCCGCTCATCATTAAAAACAAATTGTACGAAATAAGGAGGGGGAGTGAAACACTTTTACCAACCAACCCACCCATCCCAAAAAAGAAAAGTAGTGTTTCGCAGTTTCCAAATTCAGCCAATGAAAACTTTTTGAACCGAACAGAAATGACAAAATAAGAGTAAATGTCTTACAATATACTATACATATCTATTACCAGTTATATTATTATATATACACACACACACAGACACACACACACACACACACAGACACAGACACACATGAAATGCAGAGGACTGGAATGTGTACCTTTGCAAGGGAAGCAATCAGGTTGAAGTTAAAAGAGAGAGAGAGAGGCAGAACTCTCAGATGGGCAAATAAATCATTAATGTTTGCAAACACACACACACACACACACCAGAGATCCCAATAAACCGAGACAGATGCGCAGCACTTTGCCCATCTTACCCTATTGCCTCCTCCTCCTCCTCACACACGCAGGACGGGTCTGAAGCTGCTGCTGGTGCAGTTGCTGAGGATGCAGAGGGCTGTGCTGCTGGTGCTGAGGATGCAGAGGGCTGTGCTGGTGCTGCTGGTGGTGGTGGAGTTGCTGAGGATGCAGAGGGCTGTGCTGCTGGTGCTGGTGGAGTTGCTGAGGATGCAGAGGGCTGTGCTGCTGGTGGTGGTGGTTGTGCTGAGGATGCAGAGGGCTGGAGCCGGAGCGCTTGTTGCACGATACCTGACGGTTCCCCCCCACCAGTTGTGAGCACCGCTGCGCACCAGCAGCAGCTCGACTTGTCAAGCGCCGCAACCTACCCTGATAGCCGCTCGCCGTCCCGCCCCCCACCTTCTGGTTGGTCGAGGTCCGCCACAAGCCCCGCCTTCCGCCCCGGGCGCGCTGCCGATTGGTCGCCGCGGCCGCCGCTCGGGCAGACGGGCGGGGGGGGGCCGGCCGGCAGGTTTGGTTGAGGCGCGGAGGCAAAGTACGTGGCGTTCCCTGGGATCAGCTCCACCTCGGGAGGGGGATGTGACGTGCGGTTGTCCAGCCTTGCTCTGAGCTGTGGTCCAATAGCTCCGAGATGGGCAAAGTGCAACCCAACCATCCACTCCCTGCGGTGTTTTTTTTTGCATTAGGACCTGTTAATAATAATAATAATCCTAATAATCCTCGCATTTGCTGTTGCGGTTTTCACGTCGGGAGGACGTCCCAAAGCGCTTCACAGAACGCACTGTAAAGTGAATTGACTGTCTATTTGTGGGCGAACGCGGCAGCCAATTGCGCACAGCGATGTCCCACAAACAGTCGTGGATTGAAAATGACCGATTTATTATTGTTTTTGGTTTTGGAGGGATTATTATTAGGCGTCTAATGTTTGGGGAGTCATCTTTCAGAGCAGTACCAGTGATTGCCAAAGCCCCACCTGAGCCCCTATGGAGCTGCGTTTTGCTTTTCCATTTGAACAGTGGCACACAACAAAGCACGCGAAATGCAAATGTTTGGGCTTATGGCTCAGCAAACCCGCCGCGCCCAGGGTCCCGTCTGACTCAGTCCGCAGCTCAGCTCGGCGCTGAAAAAAAGAAAAGCAAAGAAAAGAAGAAAAAAAGAAGAAGAAGCGATAAGGTCGCGTTGAGGTGATCGCGCAGCAACTTTGGAATTCGGCGCAAAGGGCTCTGGAGGGAATTAAATTGCTTGTTGGAGCAAGAGAATAATGCAGAAAGAAAATGTAATGTGCTTAAGAGCGTTCAAGGGAAACCCATCACAGTGCTTTAGTGGAGTCCTGTAGTTCAGTGGTTAGAGCACTCGCTTTGCAAGTGAGAGACCTGAGTTCAATTCCAGGCAGAGGGCGAAACCTTGGGCAAGTTTCCTTACTCCACACAGAGCCTAATAATAATCCCTCCAAAAAAACAAAACAATAATAAATTGGTCATTTTCAATCCATGACTGTTTGTGGGACATTGCTGTGCGCAATTGGCTGCCCAAACTTTTGCATTTTGTGTGCTTTGTGTGTGACACTATTCAAATGGAAAGGCAAAACACAGCTCCATAGGGGCTCAGGTGGGGCATTTGTATAACACCTTTCAAGTCGGGAGGGCGTCCCAAGACAAAAGGTGGCCAAAGGCGCATTCAAAGAAATACAGTGAACTCCTGATAACTCATCTCTTTAAGGGAAAAGGGCTCAATGATGAGTTACGAAATTAGGCATATGTATAAATACATAAATG